ACGTTGTGAGCCTTGTCAAACAAGTAATGGACGTTGTGCATCTTGTCAAACTAGTGGTGGACGTTGTGCATCTTGTCAAACTAGTGGTGGACGTTGTGCATCTTGTCAAATTAGGGGTGGACGTTGTGAGCCTCGTCAAATTAGTGGTGGACGTTGTGAGCCTTTTCAAACTAGTGGTGGACGTTGTGAGACTTGTCAAACTAGTGGTGGACGTTGTGAGCCTCGTCAACTTAGTGGTGGACGTTGTGAGCCTTGTCAAACAACTAATAGACGTTGTGAGCCTTGTCAAACTAGTGGTGGACGTTGTGAGCCTTGTCAAATTAGGGGTGGACGTTGTGAGCCTCGTCAATTTAGTGGTGGACGTTGTGAGCCTTGTCAAACTAGTGTAGGACGTTGTGAGCCTTGTCAAACTAGTGGTGGACGTTGTGAGCCTTGTCAAATTAGTGGTGGACGTTGTGAGCCTTGTCAAATTAGTGGTGGACGTTGTGAGCCTTGTCAAACAAGTAGACGACGTTGTGAGCCTCGTCAAATTAGTGGTGGACGTTGTGAGCCTTGTCAAACTAGTGGTGGACGTTGTGAGCCTTGTCAAACTAGTGGTGGGTGTTGTGAGCCTTGTCAAACTAGTGGTGGACGTTGTGAGCCTTGTCAAATTAGTGGTAGACGTTGTGAGCCTTGTCAAACTAGTGGTGGACGTTGTGACCCTTGTCAAACTAGTGGTGGGTGTTGTGAGCCTTGTCAAACTAGTGGTGGGTGTTGTGAGCCTTGTCAAACAAGTAGTAGACGTTGTGAGCCTTGTCAAATTAGTGGTGGACGTTGTGAGCCTTGTCAAACTAGTGGTGGACCTTGTGAGCCTTGTCAAATTAGTGGTGGACGTTGTGCATCTTGTCAAACTAGTGGTGGACGTTGTGCATCTTGTCAAACTAGTAGTAGACGTTGTGAGCCTCGTCAAATTAGTGGTGGATGTTGTGAGCCTTGTCAAACTAGTGGTGGACGTTGTGAGCCTTGTCAAATTAGTGGTGGACGTTGTGAGCCTTGTCAAACTAGTGGTGGACGTTGTGAGCCTCGTCAAATTAGTGGTGGACGTTGTGAGCCTCGTCAAACTAGTGGTGGACGTTGTGAGCCTTGTCAAATTAGGGGTGGACGTTGTGAGCCTCGTCAAATTAGTGGTGGACGTTGTGAGCCTTTCCAAACTAGAGGTGGACGTTGTGAGCCTTGTCAAATTAGGGCTGGACGTTGTGAGCCTTGTCAAACTAGCGGTGGATGTTGTGAGCCTTGTCAAACTAGTGGTGGACATTGTGAACCTTGTCAAACTGGTGGTGGACGTTGTGAGCCTTGTCAAAATAGCGGTGGATGTTGTGAGCTTCGTCAAACTAGTGGTGGATGTTGTGAGCCTTGTCTAACTGGTGGTGGACGTTGTGAGCCTTGTCAAAATAGCGGTTGACGTTGTGAGCCTTGTCAAACTAGTGGTGGACGTGTGCATCTTTTCAGACTAGTGGTGGATGTTGTGAGCCTTGTCAAACTGGTGGTGGCGGTCTGTAAATAATAGTCTGGACCAGACAATCTGGTGATTTATATCATGAGCATCAATCCACGCAATTTGGGATACGATGACATACATCAACCAAGTCATCGAGTCTGACCACCCGATCCTGTAAGTGGCCTCTTACAACAAGCATAGTCGCCTTTTACGGCAAGCACGGGTTGCTGAAGACCTATTCTACCCCGGATCTTCACGGGTGCCTAAGTAATAATGATATGACATTTGTTGTGTGTGGCTGACTGAATGAGGATCGACGTCAAGTTTTGAGAAAAAAATCCATAAACCCACCAATAATAAAAAAATATTTAAAGTTTAAGGTGTTGTTTTTATTTGTTGATTTATGGATTTTCTTCTCAAAACGTGAAGTCATTGGTAAAAAAACAAACAACGAAAAACACTTTCAATTATTTTTTTGTCTTGTGAAAACATGATGAGTAGAAAAACAACTCATTTTTTATTTTTTGTTGTAACTAAATGTCATCATGGCCAAGATCATGGCATTCTCTTGTCGGGATAGGCATTAAATCATTTAAAATTTTGTGACATACATGTTTTTTAATCTACGCAATTGGGATCGATGACATGCATCGACCAAGTCAGTGAGCCTGACCACACGATCCCGTATATCGCCTTTTATGACATGCATAGTCGCCTTTTAGGGTGAGCATGCATTGCTGAAGACCTATTCTAACCAGGATCTTCACGGGTTCATGTAAGCAAAGTTCTGTCAGTTCAAAAACATGGGTATGAGAGCCCCAGTTGCAGTTTGCCGTGAAGAGTTGCATCCCTTATCAACTCTAGGATCAGCTGATCATGTAAGGTATTTCTGTAAGTTCAAAAACATGGGTATGAGAGCCCGAGTTGCAGTTTGCCGTGAAGAGTTGCATCCCTTATCAACTCTAGGATCAGCTGATCATGTAAGGTATTTCTGTAAGTTCAAAAACATGGGTATGAGAGCCCGAGTTGCAGTTTGCCGTGAAGAGTTGCATCCCTTATCAACTCTAGGATCAGCTGATCATGTGAGGTATTTCTGTAAGTTCAAAAACATGGGTATGAGAGCCCCAGTTGCAGTTTGCCGTGAAGAGTTGCATCCCTTATCAACTCTAGGATCAGCTGATCATGTGAGGTATTTCTGTAAGTTCCAAAGCATGGGTATGAGAGACCCAGTTGCCTTTTGCTGTGAAGAGTTACATCCCTTATCAACTCTAGGATCAGCTGATCATGTAAGGTATTTCTGTAAGTTCAAAAAAATGGGTATGAGAGCCCCAGTTGCAGTTTGCCGTGAAGAGTTGCATCCCTTATCAACTCTAGGATCAGCTGATCATGTGAGGTATTTCTGTAAGTTCCAAAGCATGGGTATGAGAGACCCAGTTGCAGTTTGCCGTGAAGAGTTACATCCCTTAACTTATCAGCTGATCATCAGCCTTGATTCTAGGTTTGTCAGCACCAAGCCAGTGGTCATGGGTTTCACCAACATGAATGTTGGTTGGTTGGTTTGTTGTTATACGCCGCACTCAGCAATATTCCGGCTATATGACGGCGGTCTATAACCTGTGTCAGTGCGCATAGTTTCCCCCATTCAAGTGACAGAGCGGGATAAAACTGGTATAGGGTTCAAAGAAACATCATCAATTTTTATTATTTATTTGTTTATGGATACATCGAAAGTAAAAAATCAAGAAAGTAGAAAAAAACTATATGATTCTCAAATAAGGGTTGTTTTCATTACTGCTGAGTCTTAAAACCCCATTTGGCAATAAAAAACATGTATGTCACAAAATTTTAAATGATTTAATGCCTATCCCGACAAGAGAATGCCATGATCTTGGCCATGATGACATTTAGTTACAACAAAATAAAAATATGAGTTGTTTTTCTACTCATCAAGTTTTCACAAGACAAAAAAATAATTGAAAGTGTATTTTGTTGTTGTTTTTTTTACCAATGACTTCACGTTTTGAGAAGAAAATCCATCAATCAACAAATAAAAAAAACACCTTAAACTTTAAATATTTTTTGGTTGGTTTATGGATTTTTTTCTCAATACTTGACATCTATTATTACTTAGGCTCCCGTAAAGATCCGGGGTAGAATAGGTCTTCAGCAACCCATGCTTGCCGTAAAAGGCGACTATGCTTGTCGTAAGAGATGACTTACGGGATCGGGTGGTGCATGTCATCGTATCCCAAATTGCAAGGATTGATGCTCATGTTGTCAATCACAGGATTTTCTGGTCCAGGCTCAATTATTTACAGACTGCCATCAAATAGCTGAAATATTGCTGAGTTAGCGTTAAACAACAAACAAACAAACATTATTACTTACATGAATTTGAAAAGATGTAAACAATATCCTTCTTAACATTTTGTGTAATTACAGTTGAAGTTTGTGCATAATCAAAGATACTGTACAAAACCATGTTAACTTAATCACAATCACCCAAATATTTTCAGTGAGTGAGTATGGTTTAACTCTGCTTTGAACAGTACTTCAATCATGTCAGGATGTGTCAGCTTGATGTGGTAGTATCATGATATAATATTTATACTTAGTTTTCCTATAATAATTAGATCCACATCAAGCGCTTTTATGAGTTATCATGGTGTAATATTTATACATCATTTCATATAATTATAGTTTAGCAAGTAATACTTATCATCAGGTAAAATGCATATATAAAATATCAGTAGTTTTAGTTATAGCTTTTTAGATAGATGCTAGCCTAAGGGAACGAGAACACATCTCCTAGACATACTATTCAATAAGACAAAAGTTATGTCTACATACCGGTAGTTTAATAGATTTAAAGCTTTTAAGTTATCATGATATAACATTTATACTAAGTTTTCCTATAATAATTAGATCCACATCAAGTGCTTTAATGAGTTATCATGGTGTAATATTTATACATCATTTCAAATAATTATAGTTTAGCAAGTAATACTTATCATCAGGTAAAATGCATATATAAAATATTACACCATGATAACTCATAAAAGCACTTGATGTGGATCTAATTATTATAGGAAAACTTAGCATACATGTTATATCATGATAGTAGGAAAGTCCAAAGTGATGCAGGTCTGAGACGTTTAACCCTTTGGTGAAACCCCGAAACATGGGGATGATGCTGACCAACCAAGTGAGTGAGTGAGTGAGTTTGGTTTTACGCCGCTTTTAGCAATATTCCAGCAATATCACGGCGAGGGACACCAGAAATGGGCTTCACAAATTGTACCCATGTCAGGAATCGAACCCGGGTCTTCAGCGTGACGAGCGAACGCTTTAACCACTAGGCTACCCGACCGCCCCCTGACCAATCAAGACAAGTGATCAGGCCAAATCAGGGATTTGACCACACGATTGTAGCTTTCTGGGATGATGACGCATGTTCGGGACACAAATCGGTATCAGCCTCTTCAGATAAAGTGTTTTTGGGTTAAGAATGAAAATGATGAATACAATAGTTAATGAGTAACCATATTTATTCACACGTTTTTGTTCAATATTTGTAGCAACTTTTGCTCAATGCACAACAATATGTGGCGTGATTGATTAACTATAGTTATATGAAGGAATCCGATGTTCTTTATTACTTTTGAGCAGTATATAATAAACATGAGCATTTACCAAAGAGACTTACCAAATATGTTTCGTTCATATAAAAAGAAAATTCCAAGTGGGACAATTATTATACTCAATATCTAAAAAACTAAAAGGAATACATTTTCCAATTTTCTTTTGTCATGTTTATGAATGCACAGGTCACTCGACAACCAGCAGTAACTGATGTTTATTTTTAAATGCCAGTAAATACATATAATATCTTGGAGTCTTAAACCTGTCATGATATAATGTGTATATAGCTAAAATTGAATTCAATACCCTGTACGTACATGTACGTATCAACCCTTGATACATGCACATTATGGTAGTGATAGTATACATAGTAGAAATGCGTGCAATATGAGAAAATATGCGAAATGCCATCCAGTACCAGACAAAATGATAAATATGTAAATATCATATATCAATACTAACCATTTATGTCATTAAATTTCAGGTAACCTTTATACTGAGATGGAAGAGCTAACCGATCTATGCTTCTGTCTTTCTTGGGCGGAACAGCTGCTCGGATAGCAATACGGCAGATCTCTCTCAGAGTCCTTGGATGGTGGAGATACCAGGCCAGCAATGATGTCATTCTCTGTTGAATGTGTTCTTGTTGGAGCTCTAGGTATGGTTGTAGTGCCACAACATCAGCCTCCTTCAGGGGAGTGCCAGCAGCATGGAGCAGTTCTGTCATCCTGATGACAACATCTGCTGCTATTGGCCTAGACCTTTTTCTTCGAGTAACAGCGTTGCCTTTCAAGGACTGAAATAGAGATGGAAACATTGGTCCTTGCGTTTCTTGTCCTCGAGGGTCATGTCGTTGTGTTTGCATTTCTTGTCCTTGAGTGTCTTGTCCTTGAGTGTCTTGTCCTTCAGTTTTGGTACTTTCTGCTCCCCCAGTTTCTTCTCCTTCAGGTTCTTGTCCTTCAATATTTTTACCTTCAGTTTCTGCTCCCACAGTTTCTTCTCCTTCAGTTTCTTGTCCTTCAATATTTTTACCTTCAGTTTCTGCTCCCACAGTTTCTTCTCCTTCAGGTTCTTTTCCTTCAATATTTTTACCTTCAGTTTCTGCTCCCACAGTTTCTTCTCCTTCAGTTTCTTGTCCTTCAATATTTTTACCTTCAGTTTCTGCTCCCACAGTTTCTTCTCCTTCAGTTTCTTGTCCTTCAATATTTTTACCTTCAGTTTCTGCTCCCACAGTTTCTTCTCCTTCAGGTTCTTTTCCTTCAATATTTTTACCTTCAGTTTCTGCTCCCACAGTTTCTTCTCCTTCAGTTTCTTGTCCTTCAATATTTTTACCTTCAGTTTCTGCTCCCACAGTTTCTTCTCCTTCAGTTTCTTGTCCTTCAATATTTTTACCTTCAGTTTCTGCTCCCATGGTTTCTTCTCCTTCAGTTTCTTTTCCTTCATTATTCTTACCTTCACTTTCTGGTCCAACAGTTCCTTGTGTCCTTGCTCCCCAGTCCAGCAGTAGCTGAACCTTGTCCAGTCTGTGGAGACCACAAGCCATATGTAATGGCCTCCAACCATAATTCAAATAAATCTCATGGTTCACAGATGCTCCAACACTTATAAGATATTCCATAGCTTCGGGAACATTCTTGGCATTGTTTCCCATTACTATCGACCTCAAGGCTTCATTAGACGACCCTCCTTGAGAAATCATCAGCTCCAAGAGCCTACCATGACCATACCCTTCCCCACATGCATACATCAGTGTGATGAAGTCCTTGTTAAAAGAAGCACCATTTTTCATAAGAAACTCCACCATTTCAATATTTCCGTCACAAGCATGATGGTGAAAAGGGTATCCGTTACACCAGTTAACGTCACTCCCAGCATCTATCAACATCTTGGCTATGGACAAACTCTTCACTATACATAATGGAGAGCGCATAAAAGCATCCATGATATCTACAACTGCACCTTGAGCAAGAAGGAGAGCCACAACGTCCTTGTTATTTTGTTCACATGCATAATGTAGAGCAGTTCGTTCTTTCCCATGGCACACATCATTGATCCTGGCGCCTGCCTCCAGCAGTTTCCTGACAATGCCTAGATTGTTCTTTTTGTGATCCGAAGCGTAGTGTAACGGCATAACGCACATCCAGGGATGCGCGTAGTTCGGATCTGCCCCGTGTTCCAGCAGGAGGGTCACAACCTCCTCCTCGTTCCTCTGACACGCCCACACTAATGGATTCCCATCCTCCCAGGGTGCTTTGTTCAAGATGTCAGCTGTAGTTGGGTAGTTCTCCAGGAAGTCCCTTATGTCTGCTGGTGTCCTGTCCTGCACAAGTGACTTCAGACGATTCATGTCTAGCTCAAGGGCGGAATGAAGACCTTCAAGACAAGACACATTAAATTGAGTTAAAGATGAGTCTGGACTAGTCTTTGAAATAACATTTGGAACAGTAGTCCAAACTTTTATATTTCTTATATTATTGATGTGTCTACCAAAAAAGTTTAAAAGACAAAAATACAGTTTAGTTGAAATGTGATTATTTTGAAAACCTTTTCAAAAAAATATTTTGAAATTGTATTTCAAGTGATTGTGGGTGAAATTGACTTCATATCAACACTGACAAAACAAGTAGCCTCGTGGTTAAAGCGTCACGGCGAAGACCCGGGTTCGATTCCTGACATGGGTACAATGTGTGAAGCCCATATCTGGTGTCCCCTGCCGTGATATTGCTGGAATATTGCTAAAAGCGGCGTAAAACCATACTCACTCACTCACTCACTCAAACTGACAAAACAGAAGTTATTCCATATTTTTCCTCATGCATTTTCGCATGTCGTCAAAAATGTTTGTAAAACTATCAAGTAAGAGAAGGCTCTGCAGCTCACCTTGGTTCTGGAACATAGTAGTCTGAGATGAGGATGGCCATACAATGGTAAAGAAGAATAACCAAAGGAGTGAGGAAGTGAGTGTATATTTTTACACCTTTTTTAGCAATTTTCCAGCAATAATACGGACACCAGAAATGGGCTTCACACATTGTACCTATGTGGGGAATTCAACCACATGACTGCTCAACCTCCCCACTATCCAAAAGAAACAATAAACATCATCACATCATGTTTATTAAAGTAATCATTTATACCATCTTTATGACGCAAGGGAGTTACAGACTGTAAAATTCCAATATTTCACCCTTGCCAAACTAGGCTAGAATTACAGTTTTACGAGTCTATGCATAGTACAGTGCAATGAACTAGACATCCGTTTCATAAACAACATGAATTTCAACGTGCAGATTTTGATCTACTGCAGGATTTGCAAAACATGTATACCGTCAACTGGGTGTTAAGCAGATATTTTCCAAATCTTTTCAAGCAAATGATTTGATGCACATTGCGAGGTAAGACCCGTTTTATTATAATATAGATCTTGATTATCGTTCAGATCGTCTTGACTTGGCACCTCCATTTTGTTTGAAGCAAATATAGAGTCATATATGAGGGGTGGAATCTGATTGGGCAAAAGGAAGGGCAGAGAAGGGACAGAGATGGGACATAGAAGACATAGAAGGGACATAGAAGGGACATAACTCTGCCAGTGGCAGCACTACGATCGAGCCAGGAAATTGCAGCCTAGGTCAGCAAGGGTGAAAACGGGACTTTTATAGTCTGTTAAAGCCCCTGCCTCGGGAAGATGTTTGATTGTGATGGGCTTGGAGTGGCAGGTGCGGTGTGGTAGGTTGGGCAGGTGTGGTGGGCGTGGCAGGTGTGGTGGGCGTGGCAGATGTGGTGTGCGTGGCAGATGTGGTGGGCATGGCAGATGTGGTGTACGTGGCAGGTGTGATGGGCATGGCAGATGTGGTGGGCGTGGCAGGTGTGATGGGCGTGGCAGGTGTGACAGGTGTGGTTGGTGTGGCAGGTGTGATGGGTGTTGGGCGTGGCACATGTGGTGGGCATGGCAGGTGTGATGTGTGTGGTGGGCGTTGCAGGTGTGGTGGGCGTGGCAGGTGTGATGGGTGTGGCAGGTGTGATGGGCATGGCGGGTGTGCTGGGTGTGGCAGGTGTGGTGGGCATGGCAGGTGTGGCAGGTGTGATGGGCGTGGCTTGTGTGATGGGTGTGATGGGAGATGGTCAAATTCAATAAGCAGTTCCCTTCTATCAACTGTTTATGGAATTTGAGACATGTAAAAGTAGAAACATCAACTCACTGCTTTCTTCATCACTGTCATCCATCCTGTGAGTATCTCAAACACTCCTTGACAATCACCTCTATGTAATTACTACTGACACTGCTCCTTCAAGAAGTTGTCTGCAAGAAAAGAAAACAAACACCCCAGCAATAACACTGCAGGTTAACATGTACGCTCCTGAGGATACTGACAAAGTATTTTTATTTCACTACAAAGTAAACAATTTCCAGTCCTACCCCCACAGTCATACAGATTAAGGGAATTTGGTTCCTGCTGCTTTGAAAGTTTTTCAGTTATATCCCAGCATGTCAGCTTAAGGGGGGAGGTTAGCTTGAAGTGATGCTAATGTTAACCAATTTGGTAAACCCTAAGCGAGCACGGGTGTGGTGATGACAAACCAAGAATTAAAATCAGGGCAAATTCAAACCCATGATCATAGGATTCTAGCACATCTAAGGGACACAACTCTGTACAAAGAATTAAGGCGCCTTAACCAACTGAGCCATCTGTGCCCCTTATCGAAGAAGCATTTTACAAATCCAAATGAAATTTTCTAATTGTTTAAATGAAGACAGGATGGAGTTGCTGTTCATTCCATGGGATCAGATGAATATATTAACTACAATTCTGCCATGAATTTGGAAATTATCCGATTCTGATAATTCAATCAGAGGTTGACACATCACAATAAACCCCCTCTGACTGAAACAAATGATTTGACAGCTGCATCACCGCGGACGCTAATATTTATAGAATAAAGTCTTTGATACGCATTTAGATGGATTTTTTGGACAACAACTTTTCTATTCTTTGTAAAGACGTTTCAGCTACTTCTTGGCTCTTCCTCAGGTGAATAATGAGTAAGCTTATAGCGTTCATATATACATACATGCAGATATTTTTAGGTTGCAGTTACTAGGGCTTCCACGAGTCCAATTTTTGGGACTCGAGTACCCGAGGGGTGAAACTCGACTCGTACTCGAGTACCCGAAAATAGGACGTCCTTTAAGAATATTGGTTCATTAGATCAAAATTGCCATCTAAAAGTATTAAAACATGTTATAAGTATAATTGAACTGCACTGAAATGTAAATAGAAAGCGTCCACTGAAATAGCACATATGTAACAGCCAATCAGTTGTTAATCTGTGTAAGGGAATATACTTGGCATTTGAGTCGGAGCAAAGAAGCAATAATCTCCTAATAATTACGTCTATTTTATGTGACATTCTCAATTGTTCTAATGTACATCTACTTTCTACAAAGAATACATTATTTAAACAATAATTTTTTAAGCTTTAATCAATATATTGATGAACAATTGAACATTGAAACAGAGTGATCTCCCTTTATCGAGTACTCGAGTCCTTGATAACGGACTCAAACCGACCCGGCCCCAAGTACTCGAGTACTCGTTGAAGCCCTAGCAGTTACTACAATATTCAAAGTATGTGTGGCAAAACAGTTTGTGCAGAAAAGACAATACAAATCTTCAAAGAGAATGTATTATAAGTTTGGGGGACAACAGAGAGCTTAAAATTTGGCACTTTTCTATATACGACTGTGACGTCATATCTTTTGTATCACAATGAGTGATGATGTCATAATAGTGATGATGTCATAATAGTGATGTGCAATGGAGAATGAAACCTTGCATTAATGAAGGCTTGCTCAGTTTTCTTTAGAGGTTCCCAATTCAAAATCGCTAACGAAGTTGTTGTGGTGCATGCTTTCAGTGCTTGTCATAAGTTCAAGTGAAGTATCACAGTATAAAATCACTGCTTGAACATGTAAGGTGCCATATTTTGTTTAAAGGTTGCTGTCGGTGATTCCGTAACTCTGATCGACAACCCCGTGGTCTAGTGGTAGAGCGTCAGCCCGGAGAGAGGAAGGTCCGGGGGTCAATCCCCGACCGCGTCATACCAAAAGACGTTAAAAGATGGTACTTGTTGTTACCCTGTCTGGCGCTCGGCATTAAGGGGCTAAAACAAGGACTGGTCGGCTCGGAGTCAGTATACTATGTCTGAGTGGGGTATTCATGTTAAACTGTGGCATGGTACCTCAGTGAGCTAGCACTATAAATCGGCATCAGTCCGGACTAGTACAAGCAGCCACACAAACACACACACCTACATGCTATATAAGTGCAATAATCTTGGACGCGACGTTAAACCCCATTTCACCTCACCTCACCTGATCTACAACCCACTCAAAACACTGGACTCAACCCATGCCGCTTCACTCAATATATTTGCTGACAAAGAGTTTGCGTTTATTTAGTCACAGTAGAACGTAGATAAACATACTGTGTTTTCAACGTAGAGCTAGGTTACCTGTAGATTTAACCACATAAAATGTCACTTTTGAAACCCTTGAGCTGTGAATTCGGTTCCAAATTCAATTTAGCATGGTTAAATCTACAGAGTAACCTGACTCTACATTGTAAAACACAGTATGCGTATCTCCTAATTATATTAGTCTATAACAGATCCTCATCGGGAAATCACTCTACGTAGTAACAATTTTGCACAAAAAGCATCTCAATAGTGTTTAATGTTTTTGAATATTCTAACCACATAATTATATATAGTTCATCTATAAGATTACTGAAACTTTTAGTAAATAGATAAGAATGTGAGATTTTCTTATTGAGCTCAAAGTCTGCCATGCAGCGAAATCCAGCGATAAAGTCATACAGCAAGATGACAACACAGTGATGTCATACAGCAAGAATGACAACACGGTGACATCATACAGCAAGATGACAACACAGTGACGTCATACAGCAAGAATGACAACACAGGGACATCATACAGCAAAATGACAACACAGTGACGTCATACAGCAAGATGACAACACAGTGATGGCATACAGCAAGATGACAACACAGTGACGTCATATAGCAAGAATGACAACACAGTGACGTCATATAGCAAGAAGGACAGCAGTGACGTCATACAGCAAAATGACAACACAGTGACGTCACATAGCAAGAAGGACAGCAGTGACGTCATACAGCAAAATGACAACACAGGGACATCATACAGCAAGAATGACAACACAGGAACGTCATACAGCAAGAATGACAACACAGTGACGTCATACAGCAAGAATGACAACACAGTGACGTCATACAGCAAGAATGACAACACAGTGACGTCATACAGCAAGAAGGACAGCAGTGACGTCATACAGCAAGATGACAACACAGTGATGTCATAATTTGACAGAACTTTGCAGTTACACACATTCATGCGAATCTTATCGTGACTCACGATCAGAATGACGTAACCCTAGAAATAATGTCATAGCTGTAGACTGTTGACATCATTTGACATGTGTGGTTTTCTAATCAGTGCATTTTTCTAAATGGGAGCACAAAAGGAAGAACAAATAATGGGTTATAACGAAGTTATTACACTCACGTGTGTGTCAAATTGATTTTACGAACCTTGTGTAAGAATTCATGTATTAACCTTGCTCTCACTCGGGAAATACAAGAATTCTGACACCTGGTTCATAAATTCACTATGTCTAATAATCGCTATGAATAACGTCAGATCTCGGGGGTTAACAAGTTAGCTGCCTTACATCAAGTTCATCTTTGAGTCATAAATTAACGTGTTTATGATGAGAACGGTCAAAAAATAAAAACACTTGGAACTCTCATTATTACAGAAAAAGTGACAATTATTGATTAACTTCCGCAATCAATCATACCTTTGTATATTTAATAAATGCACCAGTCATGCATTCAAATGTTTGCCCCACCCCCGACTTCAGCCTGTTCATTCGCCTATGTATATAATTCTATCTCGCTTGCCGTAAATGGCGACTATACTTGTAAGAGGCGTTGGTCCGACTCGCTGACTGGTTGATGCATGTCATTGCGTAGATCGATGCTCATGATGCTAATCACTGCATTGTTTGGTCCAGACTCGATCATTTACAGACCGCCGTCGTATAACTTGAATATTTCGAGTGTGGCGTTAAAACTTTAAACAACAAACAAACATGTCACAGCCAGCTGACAGCCACAAATATACATGGTCCATGGTCGACTGGCAGAGCTGCCATAAATATTTTCTAGTAATTCTAGTGTGGACTGAAGATATACTGACAACATATGGTGACCTTACATGTTGTTGCCGTCTTGTTGTGGATATTGCGCAACATTTGCCTTGACCAAATCCTACTCGATCTTCCTTTCCAAGTGCGGATGTCATCGCTCTTCAGCGGTAGACTGCTAGGAGTGCTCTCCCTTATCTCTCTTGCATTTCCGGGTCCAGAATGATGTAAACAAGTCCATGCATCGCTGCTCTGGTCATACCTCTTGTGAGATCTTTGGTATTTCTCTGACATGCACGCTCTTACAATATTATTTTCACAGTTCACAGTTATCAAAAGCCTTCGGGAACTACAACTTGGCTGAATTTAAATCTTTATACAGGCATTTAGAAATTGTACTGATAACAAAGTTTGGATCTCAACTTGGATAGACACACATATCCTGCTGATTGACATTTCATTATATTTATCATGCAATGATGAGCCGCCATTACTTTGTTTTTGATCAGAAATATATGCAATTTGTTGTATTATTTATAAAAATGTATTGAATATTGAAATAATTATAATTTCTAAAAAAGTACACAAACAAACAATGATTGGGGATGGGGTATGGTCTTGACATTTTCCAGTAACAAGTGAGCAGTGGATTTAGTTTGATTGTAAGATGGTACTGTACACCTATGCTTGTCGTAAGAGGTGACTAAAGGGGTCGGGTGGTCAGGCTCGCTGAGTTGGTTGATGCATTTCATCGTATCCCAATTATCCCAATTAGATCAATGCTCTTGATGTCAATCACTAGATTGCCAGTTCCAGACTCGATTATTTACAGACCGCCGTCATATATATGGAATATTGCTAAATGCGACAACAAACAAAAAAGCAAAAGTGCACCTTTTTTCAAAAGATTTGTATCCATGCTTGTTCAGATAAACATGTCTGAAACTCTATTTAAACATGCTGGGCAACGGGATCTCAATGTACATTTAATCTCAAAATAGAAATGAAAATATTTCAAGAAAACAAATTTGTTAAATCAATCTCCTTATGGCGGATGTTTTGCTCGCATTCTAAAGAGAGAGTGAGTGAATATGGTATTACGCCGCTTTTAGCAATATTCCACCAATATCACGGCGGGGGGACACCACAAATGGGCTTTACACACGGTACCCATGTCGGGATTCGAGCCCGGGTTCTTCGGCGTGACCAGCGAACGCTTTAACCACTACATGTACCCGCCCGACCGCCCCAATTTGAACGAGAGAACCAGCATATGTGATCACGAAAATGAAGGCGGAGGGCAGTTTTGAATGAAGAATGATAACGACCGCTGTGTTGTGCATATTCGAGACTCTGTCGTTTCTGAGCGCCATGAGTTTCCGACTTCGGCAGTTGATCGTCATCAGCTTACAATTTGATGGTGATAATTGCCAAATACAAGAGTTCGAATTACATTTTAGGAGTTTCCAGCGTGGTATGCTCTGGTGTTACCGCTAACAGCGGAATGCCACTGCCATCACCACACTATATGCTCTTCGATAACGCCCCCTAACGTCTGGTACCCTTTCCTTCGTCTCCTAGCAGCTGCGGGGAGTAATATTGGGAGCCGATAGAGCAAGCGCACTTGGGCAGGGAAACCTGACATCCGTCAACTTGTATATAGACTGGTACCCTGCCTTTCTCATCCTTGCGGCTCTAAGCTTGTAGAGCGGCTTGTGCAAACCAGTCTAAGTTGAACCACTAAAATCGCACTTTGTCACATCACGTGACTTTTTACCCGCGTAATCCAACAATATATTGGAGGGAAATAAGGTTTGTAAGTCGACTGGATCTGACAACTATCATCGGGCTCCCAAAATCTGAGATCTTCCCTTTCAAGCCAAGATGTACGTCGTTAAACGAGGTACGTATCAATTTTAGCTGTAATGGTTTATGCATAGGTATAATTGTCGCTTTGAATAATATTCTTATATGTGATCAGCAACGTTTTGTGGTCGACAGAGCTGCACCCTTGTCTGTGTCGACGAACATTAACACAACTGAAAATATAGTCAGTATACTGAAGATAGTACCATACACTTGTATTTCAGATGGCCGTCAGGAGAAAGTTATGTTCGACAAGATCACATCCAGAATATCCAAGTTATGCTATGGTCTCAATATGGATTTTGTGGACCCGGTATGAGACTTTTTTTTTTCTTTGTCTGTTGATATATGGCGGGAACTTCAAAATTTGATTTAAAGTTTCCTATTGCTTAATGCAGTTCTATGTCATTTATGAACTAAAGATCATTAATGAACAGTCTTAATTGTTTAAGGTGTCATAATGTAGTATATATGAAAATTATTACATTTCAGTAGGTTAGATCTTTACATGTAAATTTCAGTCTCATCGAAAATGCTGTATCTAGTCTATAGATCTACCTGTCTAAAATGTCTTTATCCCAATTGCGTGGATCGATGCTCATTTGTCAATCACTGGATTGTCTGGTCCAGACTCGATTATTTACAGCTGGAATATTGCTGAGTGCGGCGTTAAACAACAAACCAAACCAAATCCATTGTGCAGAAAATAAAGTCCATAGTACATACAATGCATCCAACCTTTGTTGAAAAGTCAGGCTCATCCTCATTACTTGTTTGCTTGGAAGTCTGAGTAAACTATAGCAGTAGTGCTGTATCAAGCCCTGTGTCCATGCTGTCTACCATGATGACCCTGATGTTGCAGACCGCCATAACTCTGAAGGTCATCAGCGGCCTCTATCATGGCGTGACCACCATCGAACTCGACAACCTGGCAGCAGAAACAGCTGCTACCATGACGACAAAGCACCCCGACTATGCTCAACTGGCTGCCCGCATCGCCATCTCAAACCTGCACAAAGAGACGAAGAAAGTTTTCAGTGGTATGTTGAGAAGATTGCAGCATGACATACCTAAGGCGTCATTCTTTTTTAAATTGTATCCTCCCCCCAACCCCAATTTAAAAAAGGGTAAATAATTTCGACAGGGGGAAATATCAAAACTAACATGACATCTTTTTTTCGGTTACTTTGTCCTTTAGAACTTGTTCTTTGAACTGACAAAATAAATAGATACAACCCATTTATTCTGTCTGTACTGCATATAACTTTGAATTTCATTTTGGAATACAAGGAGAAATGAGTTTTGATGGCAAAGTTGTTTCGTTACTGCATATTTTTCATGATTTTTTTTTTATAAAATATATAGATAAATGATATTTTTATGTTCCTCCCATTTTCTCAGTACTCCGATTCAGCGGATCTGTAACCTTGTTTAAAAAAAAAGCCAAAATTTCTTCAATGTGCCCTTCATGCTAGATATGTAGACGTGTCTCTTTTTATGATTTTGTAATTTATTTGGGGATGTAAGTTCCAATATACATGTAATTATAATGTCTGAGATAATGTTACTTTCAAGGTGAATATTTTAAAGGTTTTCTAGATCTTACCAAGGGGTTAATCACCGTTAAGATACATATGGAATATATCTTCTTTGGCGCTTTCACAGAAATAACATCTTTGTTAATTATATTCATTAGGGCTGCAACGAATACACTATGATGTGAATACGATTTGTATCATGAATATAGGGTAACGAATAGGAATAATAATTCACGAATACAATAACAAGTCAGCAGTTGATGTATTATTTGTCATGTTCAGCATGTTCAGTGAGGCAACAACAAAATAAATTATTTGACATGGTTTGTTAATTTTTAATATATTATTAAATATATTATTCATTTATATACCATGTATACTGCATTTATCCAGGTACTTGTATCTGCTCAAATGCAACAATGACCAGTGACCACAATACTGTCAAATTAAATAGTATAAGAGTGTTGTCTTATGAAGAAATCTTTGCATAAAATATTTTCTTATGGTTTTTTTTTTTAATGCAAATGCATATGCTTGCATATTCGTAAATATTAGATTCTAGTGGTCACATATAACGAATTCAATTCATAAATGGATACAGTTCGATTCACCGAATACACGAGTGAATCGTAACAGCCCTAATATTCTTACTTGTTAGTATGTTACAAATAGCTTTTGACATGCTCAATGTCTTCAGCATTTAAAGGTTGTCTGTGGACAACTGAAGCTGATTGTTTTGTTTTGTCAGGCGATCTCATGTAAGAAGTATGGTTTTTGACACCTGTGTACAGAATCATTTATTAGGATTTATGTATATACCTGCTTAGAGGTCAATATCCGTCCCCAAGTTACCAACAAATGTCCATAAAAAATCCTAAATTTGAAATTAAACGTTTTCCAATTTAATAATGCTGTCAAGTTGTGACTAATGTTAGCATGGGTGAGTTCATCAGGTAAAGTCTGTTTAATGGGAATGTAAATATTTCTTTTCCAGATGTGATGGATGATTTATTCAAATGGGTGAATCCGAAAACTGGAAAAGATTCCCCAATGATAGCCGACGACATCCATGATATCATTATGAAAAATAGTGATGTAAGTCCAACCACTGATACCAGTAAAATGTCAAAGAGCCCTTGGTGTTTTTAAATTACATTAACATGTGATATTGCTGTCTCAATTCAGCCTTTTTAAAAGTTTTTACCCTAACTCGATACCATAATCTGTTGAAAATCATCGGAGCTTTTGAAGCTTTCCAGCCTTTTCTCATCCTCAAATCACATTAAAGAAATCAGTGCTTCAGTTTGCTAAGGGCATCAAGGTTGTTGACCCTTTCAAAATCAAAGAAATGGTGTTTAACAGTTGTATAACTTCACCATATTTTTACGGATGTCACGATTCTTTAATGTATCGCAAATTTATACCAAACTATTCAGACCGCCTCCGTTGTCTAGTGGATAGATAATTTTCCCAAAGAGGAATGTTGAGGGTTCGATCCCTGTCCACGTCATACCTAAAGACATTAAAAGTTGGTACTTCTTGTTATCCAGACCCATGAAGATCCGGGTTAGAATTGATCTTCAGCAACCCGTGCTTTCCGTAAAAGGCGACTATGCTTGTTGTAAGAGGCAACTAACAGGATCGGGTGGTCAAACTCACAGACTTGGTTGATGCATGTCATCGTATCCCAGTTGCGTGTATCGATGCTCATGACGTCAATCACTGGATCGTCTGGTCCAGACTCGCATATTTACAGACCGCCATCATATTGCGGGAATATTGATGAGTGCGGCGTTAAACAACAAAAACTTCTGGTCCAGACTTGATTCTTACAGATCGCTGTCATATAGCTGGAATACTGCTGAGTGCGCATAAGACAACAAACAAAACCAATTTGCAAATACCTGACCAATATTTTTCGATATATGAAATAGTTGTACAGTGACATCCCTACTATTTTCCAGCCTGACACATTGAGACCTATTAGCGATACAAACCCAACACTAATTAATCTGAACCAGGAAGTCCGACTAATGGCTGAAGGGGGAGACTGTTCTAGTTCCTTGTGTTTTGTTTTTACAGAAACTGAATTCCGCTGTGATATATGACCGTGATTTCAACTACAACTTCTTTGGGTTCAAGGTACGTTGAGATTTCATTATTTCAATCGAAGCCCAAAACATTTCAAGTCCACACACCCAAATATGTCTCTCAATATCAGTTTTAGTAGATTTGAGTGTTGGTATGTGGACTGATCACGTGAACATACTAGACTGAACAAAATTTTACTTTACTCTGGCTTTGAACTGGTGGCTTAAGTCAGAGACTATTTTTGGTTTTGAATGTCATCTTTTCAAAAGAAAAAGTAAGAAATATATATTGCAGAAATAAAAAGATCACTTTTTTAAACTGATCCATATGTTTGTTTTTAGACTCTTGAACGATCCTACCTACTGAAGATTGATGGAAAGGGTAAGTATATGGTCTAAGGGAAGCAACTCACTTCTGTCAGTTCATATTCCAAACCATCAAATCCCCTTTCATACATCTATCTATCGTAGGGACGGGCATGTAGCCTAGTGGTTAAAGCGTTTGCTTGTCGTGCCGAAGACCTGGCTTCGATTCCTGACATGGGTAAAATGTGTGTAGCCTATTTCTGGTGTACCCAGCCATAATATTGCTGCAATATTACTAAAAGTGGCGTACTCTGCTAACCCTATCTATTGTCAGAAGGGTCATGAAGATCAAGTTCAGTCCTGTACTGTAGGTACATCTATCGTAAGACGTGTCGTGAAGATCAAGTTCAGTCCTGTACTGTAGGTACATCTATCGTAAGACGTGTCGTGAAGATCAAGTTCAGTCCTGTACTGTAGGTACATCTATCGTAAGACGTGTCGTGAAGATCAAGTTCAGTCCTGTACTGTAGGCACATCTGTCATAAGACGTGTCGTGAAGATCAAGTTCAGTCCTGTACTGTACGTACATCTGTGGTAAGACGTATTGTGAAGATCAAGTTCAGTCCTGTACTGCATGTACATCTATCATAAGGTGGAGATATGTGTTACATGTTTAAAATCCGATGTTTCAGTGGCGGAGCGTCCTCAGCACATGTTGATGCGAGTCTCTGTTGGCATCCACCGAGATGACCTTGAAGCAGCCATTGAGGTACGCGCAGAAAGAGTTGATGTTGTTGAAACAGTTCGTCTCCAATAACATGCAGAGTTGATTTGTGTGTCAGATTTTGTCCATATATACTACTCAAAAGAAGTTAAAGAATACCCAGTGAAAATATTGGGTGTTCCTTGACTTATTTTGAGTAGTATATTGCTCTTTTACCAGCTTCTCCAAGGACTATTAATGTTTTTAAACAAGCTTATGAGGTTATATATGTTATGTTGTATGTTATGTTATATGTTATGGTTTAGTTTCTTGAATATCAAAATTAGTTTATTTAGAGTTTATGTGAAAGGTCAAATCTAATAATGAGCCACACCAGTCTACATGGTCAAGTAGGTTGAAAGTCACGATTTACCCGTGACGATTCCGGGATAGAATAGGTCTTCAGCAACCCATACTTGCCGTAAAGGGCGACTATGCTTGTCATAAAAGGCGACTAACGGGATCGGGTGGTCAGACTTGGGGATTTGGTTGAAACATGTCATTGATCCCAATTGCGTGGATAGATGCTCATGTTATCAATCACTGGATTTTCTGGTCCAGACTCAATTATTTACAGACTGCCGTCATATAGCTGGAATATTGCTGAATGCAGCGTTAAACAACAAACAAACAAACAAGAAACGAAAGTCGCGATCAGTTAGGAAGGATGAGGAACAGGGATATGTCAATATTATAGCAAGGTCACATGTTACAATGACCACATCTGCTGAGGCTGGTTGAATTGTAACGGATTGTGACTATTTGATGGATTGACTACACAAGTTTTTATACCAAGGTTCTGTCCGACCTCCCGTCCGAAAACTTTGTCTGCGCGATTTCTCTTAAACTATTCAGGGGGATTCATCTCAAACTTAGTACATATAATCTGTGTCATATGAAGGGGTGCAGACAAAAGAAAAAAAAAAGTTTTTATGAATTTTCCATTTTTTATTGAATTTTTCAAACCCTAACCCTATCCATTTTTTAATTTGAAACTACTGACACACTAGGTGGGTCGGGGGTATTAGTGAGCCACGCTCACTTTTGCCCTTGTTTATACTGGCTGATGTTTGATTGGTAACAGTTGAAAAATTACTACCAAGAACTGGTTTCTTTTATTTTCGAAGTGATGGTTTGATACAGACAAAAATAAACAGACCTGAGGGACGCACAATACATTCATTGTACCCAATTCATGACAAGAAATATAAAGTTCCTGTAAAAATTAAGTCATTATCAAATCTTTCTGTACATAACAGTACACTACGTCATTTTATTACTTTACAGGACCCACATATTTCCTCCAAGGACCCTTGAAATTAGTTATAGGGGGTCCTCTGGATCCCTAGTGTTGTAGGTCAAGGTGAAACCCTACCTGGTTGACGCTTGTCATTGTATATCGTTTGCGTAAATCGATGCTCATGATGTCAATCACTGGAGGGGCACGGGTGGCCCAGTCATCTAAGGCGCCGCGATTCGCTGTGCAGAGTTGTGTCCATTGGGCACGCCAGAAACCTATGATTGTGGGTTTCAAATCCCGGTTCCCCCAATTATGTTTCTAGGTTTGTCTGCACCATACCCGTGCTCGTGGCTTTCACCGAAGTGGTAAACGTCTGAGACCTGCATCACTTTGGGCTTTCCTCCCACATTAAGCTGACACGCTGTGATATAACTGGAATAATGTTAAAAGCGGCATTAAACCCAACTCACTCACTCACTCACTCACTCACTCACTCACTCACTCACTCACTCACTCACTCACTCACTCACTCACTCACTCACTCACTCACTCACTCACTCACTCACTCGATAGTATGGTCCAGACTCAAGTATTCAGAGACCGCGGGAATATTGCTGAGTGCGGCGTAAAACAACAAAAGCTTTCCGAGATAATCTATTTGGACCAAATCGTGTATTTTGATCCACTGTGAAAGATGTAGATGTTACATATAAATTGCATGAATACACTGTTATTGTTTCAGACTTACAACCTCCTGTCGGAGAAGTGGTTCACACATGCCTCACCGACTCTGTTCAATGCTGGCACACGTAGACCACAGCTCTCCAGGTAATGTATGTTGTGTAACACTGAAGTGATATTGAGCTTAGTGTCAGGTGTTTCTGCAAATTTGGTAATATTGAAAAGTGTTGTCAGTAGCCACGATGGTTGATAAAAGTCATGAAAATGTCCCAAAATTGGCTCTAGCAAAATTATTATTGTTGGGATGCCAGTTGCTCATAAGAAGGTAAAACTGCCTTGTCTCTTCACTGTAGGTAAACATCTTTCAGTTCACATTCAGTGTTAAAATATCCATTACTCGGTGATACAAGGTCTCTGATTGGTTGTTAGGTTGAAACAGTCCAGCCATTCTATTGATGGAGAGTGTAGATGGGGTCCTTACTGGTACTGTTAACATACACTTTTTCACAGTATTTTACTTTTTTTACCCCACCGGTTACTCCAAAGCTTAACATCTGTCTTCATTTAATTGTAAGGAGCAAATGCACTTGACTGACACGGATGAATACTATGTATTTCAGCTGTTTCCTGCTGACCATGGATTCTGACAGCATTGATGGAATCTATGACACATTGAAGAAATGTGCTCTCATCTCCAAGTCTGCCGGAGGGATCGGTCTCAACGTCCATTGTATCAGATCGACTGGCAGCTATATTGCAGGCGTGAGTACACACACACCATTTAAAATTGCCGGCTTTCAGCTTGTCTTTTAAAATGGGAGTCATGTTTGTTTATAGTCAAATTCACAGTTAAGGTAGTCATGTATTGACTTTTAATCTGAGATATTGACAATAAAACAGCATAAATATTCTGTTATTATGAAGAGAGAAATCTGTTAGTATCCCTTTGTTTTTGAAGAAATTAGTACTGACTGATAAAAGTGTCAAATATGTCTCATTGAACCCAATGTTGTGTCTCCAGACTAATGGTACTTCCAACGGCCTCATCCCCATGTTGAGGGTGTACAACAACACCGCCCGCTACGTGGACCAAGGAGGCAACAAGGTAACCAGCTACTGGAGACGAGTGGGCAACAGTAGTACCTTGCAGGTTTAGTTCCTGGTTTCAATAGTCTTAGGATGGACCGGCTCCAGCCTGCAGATTTGCCATCTACATCTTGCACAGGGAAAGCAGACTTGTGTTATTTAACCCTGACAATTGGGTAACAGCAAAACCGAAACATGGAATGGTTGGGAACCATGGTTACAGTAATATCGAACAAGACTCTTAGCTTGTCATGCAACTCACTGTTATTTAAAGCAACCACGGTCAGATTACCGCTATTGACACCTTGAAACAAACTTTAGTGGATAGAGAATGGATACATATATCATAAATACTTTGACTCGTTAAGTCATATTTGTTGGGGTGCTGGTGGGGTAGTCTAGTGGTTAAAGCGTTTGCTCGTCACGCCGAAGACCCTGGTTCGATTCCCCACATGGGTACAATGTGTGAAGCCCATGATATTGGTGAAATATTGCTAAAAGTGGCGTAAAACCATACTCACTCACTCATAGTTGTTGAAGTTCGACGATTCTATGTCAACATGTAGTTCTCGCAATCACATGCACAGGAGCCTTGGCGGTGACTGGTCAAACTGTGAAAATAATAACCGGCAATAGCAATCAGCTGCACCGAAATGCTACTCTTAGCTGCAACTAAAATAACAAGATATTGGAATATATTATTGCGTACTATCCTCTAGAAAATACGGTAAATCCCTGCTAATAGTAATTAGGATTCGATAGGACACACATAGCTTAAGCAGTGTTTGAAATCAAGCATGGAAATAAAGGGGTTCTTCTCATTATGTGATTTGTAGGGGATCCCTGGATTCAAATATTAAAGCAACTCTCGAGGACACTAAATCCCTTAACACTAGGGCCGTTCTGAGTCACTCGAGTATTCGGTGAATCGAACCGTATCCCTTCATGAATTGAATTTGTTACTTGTGGTCACCAGAAGCGAATATTTACCCAAACAAATTTTTTAAAAGGGTGTTTTTTACTTGAAGTTGTCTGTTATTTATCAAAGCAAGATATGCGAAATGGAATATATACAAGCCTGTCTGTTGGTCATCTACAACTCCATCCCAGTTAAACGACTTATTGTCCGAAACGCTCATCAATTATTTGAACCCCACAGGTGATTGTAGCAAGCAATCACTGTAATTTTCACTGAATCAAATGAATAATACCTCAACTGCTGACTTGTTGTATTCTTGAATAACTTATATTCAATACCCTATATTCGTGATACATATTGTATTCGCCTCATAGTGTATTCGTCCCAGCCCTACTAAACACTGGCAAGTATGTAGATAATGATACATTCATTGATTGGTCGATCTTGTAGAGACCAGGTGCGTTCGCCATCTACCTGGAGCCATGGCACTCGGACATCTTCGAGTTCCTGGATTTGAAGAAGAACGTCGGGAAGGAGGAGACGAGGGCCAGGGATCTGTTCTACGCGATGTGGCTGCCCGATCTGTTCATGGAGAGGGTGGAACAGAACGCCGAGTGGTCCTTGATGTGTCCCCATGAATGCCCGGGGCTCGCTGATGTTTGGGGGGATGAGTTTAAGAAGCTCTATGAGGGGTAAGTGGCTCTCAAGATGCTCGGACAAAATGGTGTTTGAACTGGACACTGCCTAGCCACTTAGCCAATCAAAATGTTCGGCTCAGCTGAAGCACTAGAAGGGAGGCAACTCAAAACCCTGATTGCGTTGATAAAATTTGATATGCAGTCAATTGTGTGCCGTGTCAGTTATGGCACGGTGGATGAAAATAGTTATGTTTTCACTTCGAATTGGAGTTTGTTTAGTGAAACAATGACTAAAGCAAACATTTAACTAGACTAACATATAGTCTCTGAAATGAACATATCGTACAGAAAAAACAGTTGCTCAGTTATCTTAATAAAAATATAATAAAAAGGGAGCCCAGTGATTCTCTTCATTTTCAGATACTGCAGTAATCTAGACTTGCCAAACATTCTAGACTTGCATGGGCTGTAGTTGATAAATTTGTATCAGGGTCTGTAAGACAGACTAACATTTAACATAAGAATCGTTATTTCTTACTTGTGATTAGTGTGATTTTTGTGTGTACCATCCCACCACTAATATACTACTCAAAAGAAGTTAAGGAACCCCCGATTCTTTCATATTACTATAGTTAATCTGTAATGCCATGACAGATTAACTTCTACAATTTGAAAGAACTGGGTGCTCCTTAACATCGTTTGAGTAGTATATATAGCTGAAACATTTTTGAAATGACATGAATCCCTAACTCACTCGAAGCGGTGTTATACCCTGCTCGCTCACTCACTCACTCACTCACTCACTTTTCCTTGGGTACGAGACCGCCTCTGGTCTAGTGGTAGAGTGGAAGGTCCGAGGTTTGATCCCCAGCCGCGTCATACCAAAAGATGTTAAAAGATGGCACTTGTTGTTACCCTGCCTGGTGCTCGGCATTAAGGGGCTAAAACAAGGACTGGTAGGCTCAGAGTCAGTATACTGTGTCTGAGTGGGGTGTTCATGTTAAAACTGTGGCATGATATCTCAGCACGATAAAAAACGACATTGGTTTGAACTAGTACAATCAGATACACACGCACACGCACACGCACACGCACGCACACTCACACTCATATCGCTATATAAGTGCAATAATCTTGGATTTGAGTTAAACCCCATTTCACCTCACTTCCTCAGGTACGAGAAGGCTGGCAAGACTCGCAAGGTGATCAAGGCTCAGCAGTTGTGGTACGCCATCATCGAGTCTCAGACGGAGACCGGCACGCCCTACATGCTGTACAAGGACCACTGCAACAGGAAGAGCAACCAGCAGAACCTGGGCACCATCAAGTGCAGCAATCTGTGTACGGAGATCGTGGAGTACAGCGCCCCGGATGAGGTGAGTTGCACTGCACCCGCTGTGGGGAATCGGGAGAATTAGTTCCCTGCAACCTATGCTTGTTATACGCGAAGACTCAAACGATCAGGTGGTTAGAAGGCTTGGTGTCTTATTTGAGTCATCGCATCACCAGTCTCAGTAATTCACGCTAGTCTGCTAGCCTGAGACTAGTAAATTGTGCTGATGACAAGTAAAATCCAAAGAGGGTAGTTATCATTGACTTGTAGTATTTGAGGGATAGGATTTTGAACCAGTTCTCAACGCTTCAGTTGTGCTACAAATTGGAACTGTATGAAACCGATAAAAAAAATGTAAACATAGTAAACACGTATGTTTTGTTCAAGCTACAGACAAGTGAAATAAGAATTACACTGGTCTTTAACAAACCCTGAATTTCTAAGGTTGACATTGCCAGGGGTATCTGATCCTGACTGGATTATTTACTGGCTGTCTTCATATAACTAACTGCTTCAATATTACTGAGTGTGACGTCAAAGAACAATCACAAATACACAAAGACTATAAAAGTCACCAGGTACTTGCAAGAACATTCTCAAACAAAATGAGTAAACATGATTTGTTTTCTTTCTTTGTTATACAGGTTGCTGTGTGCAATTTGGCTTCAATAGCCCTTAACATGTATGTGAAACCAGACCGAACATACGACTTTGGCAAACTGCGGGCGGTGACCAAGGTTGCTGTGAGGAATCTGAACAAGATCATTGATGTCAACTATTACCCAGTCATAGAGGTGGGCAGATTTAAAAACTTACAGTTGGTCTTTCATGACAACTGACAATTACTGTCAAGTCTTATATTCATTGTTAAACGTAGTTAACCCATAAGTCTTAGTGATGTGGCTGAATAAAAAGTGTTTGAAGTTTAGCCTGTCTTATACCTCTGAGTATGGCAGGACCCCGTGAAGATTCCGGGGTAGAATAGGTCTTCAGCAACCCATACTTGCCGTAAAAGGCAACTATGCTTGTCGTAAAAGGCGACTAACGGGTTCAGGTGGTCAGGCTTCCTGACGTGGTTTATACATGTCATCGATCCCAATTGCGTGGATTGATGCTCATGATGTCAATCACTGGATTGTCTGGTCCAGACTCGATTATTTTACAGACCGCCATCATTTAGCTGGAATATTGCTGAGTGCGGCATTAAACAACAAACAAACAAAAGAGTATGGCAGATTGGTGATCAGTTATTTAGAGGCTGACACAAAAGCGGATTTTATGTTTGCAGTGGAGAGCAACATTAGCTCATTCAATAACCTTTTTTCCCAAAATAGATGGGTCATTATAAAACATCCAACCTCTTTTGCTCCTGATAAATAAACAGATATAAAATTTGAAAATTCTTTTTATTGATTTAGCAAGAAATATCTAAACTTGACATTGTCTGAAACATGAAAGATACAGATATTGACATAAAGAGGATACCTATTTTGATAATGACCCATATGTACATTTCCAATTATAAGCAAAAATAGAAAGACTTCATCTAAAGTTGTCTACATTTCCTGCAGACCCTGATTGCTACAACTGTACAATGCAATCGATACTTCATCACTTGTTGTAGGTAATCTGTAATCATGAAGATATCGGGGTAGAATACTTGCTGTAAAAGGTGACTGCTTGTCGTAAAAGGCGACTAACGGGATCGGGTGGTCAGGCTCGCTGACTTGGTTGATGCATGTCATCGATCCCAATTGCGTGGATCGATGCTCATGATATCAATCACTGGATTGTCTGGTCCAGACTCGATTATTTACAGACCGCCGTCATATAGCTGGAATATTGCTGAGTGCGGCGTTAAACAACCAACCAACCAACCAATGTAATCATGGCTTCTGTATCTCAAACATACAAATCTGTAGTACCGTATATGACCGCGGATAAGCCGACCCCGTAGATAAGCCGAGGTGTTAATTTGACCATTGAAATACGAAAGAAAATGATATGACCCGCAGATAAGCCGAATCAGGAATTGAAAGACAAAAAACACTGCGAAGTCGGACTGAAAGACATGTGCCGGTACTCGCAGATATTCAAAAATATAAGATGAAAAACGTTGTAATTATATTGAAAAAGTCATTATTATTTCTAATAAAGATTTAACAAACCAGTCATCCACTTTCATAATGTGGGAAGCTGTTTCTCGTGTTTTTTTAAAATCTCATAATGATCGTTATATGTTGCCATCAACAACCAAGCGCCATTTTGTGAGTCGGTGTATATAGAATTATGAACCCGTGAGAAAATATATCAGCTGGAGCGAAGACTCGCAGTTTGAATTCAGCATCGTAAGCATGGCGTTTTCGTTTAAAACTCATGATGAAAACGTCAGTCAGTAAAAATATACCAACTTTTATAACCCCCTTTACACCACTATTGTATGTTAATCCAATTGAATTAAATAAACTATCATACTATAAACACATTAAATGACCATCACTTACTCACAGGCTTTTCCAGTTTATTAAACTAATCTCTCGAAAACAAAGGAATTAAGCCCCTATTCCCAACACGATCGCTAAGCACCCACAACTTGAAAATGTTTGTGTAAACAACCTGACAATACCAATCGGCCTGTTATTATCAATGCTCATTTCCTTGTGTACCGTGTTGCTTTAAACAACAGGAAGCAATCACAGTGGTCACCGTTTGTGACGTCACAGGAAACAGCTGATCACATGTTTTTGCAAATGGCGAATGGAATAACTCGCCGATACAGTTGTTTATTTGCCTCTTTCAATAAAGGTAGACACTTGTTCACTATCAGTTTATGAACTTTGCAAAACGTACATAATAGCTATTGGCGATTTTATCTGGGGATTATATATTATAGCTGTGAATTACATATATTGTTACATGTAAAGATTGTGGAGTTTACGAAGAACGATAAACTTTGAACATTCAATTGAAAACTTATTATGGGAAGTAGTAACATGCATAACATTTTTTTAATAATGACAACATTGGTGTATAATAATAACTTTATTGATAATTTATATAACAAAAATGGCTCTAGTCGTGGCAACTTCCAAACTTTCGGGAAGTTGTAATCTATCGGACCGTCATTCAGGCGATGTTTCTGACAGATCACGATCTGAAAAATACTATCATGAAAGTGTATCCCGTGGATAAGCCGACCCCTTTCTACAGAATCTTTTTTCTGGTCCTCAAAATTCGGCTTATACGCGGTCATATACGGTACAAGAGCACAATCAAATATTGCACAACAGACATGACAAATGGACTTTAGTTCTTTTTTTATTAATGACATCATTTCTACAAAAAGGCACAAAACTCCAACTTCCGCCATCGTCCAATTGGCCTGGGAGTTCAAGGGCTGGCTGATGCTTTCATCCTGATGCGCTACCCCTTTGAGAGTGATGAGGCACAGCTACTGAACAAGGAGATCTTTGAACACCTCTACTTCGCTGCCCTGGAGGCTAGCTGTGAACTGGCGGAGAGAGATGGGCCGTATCAAACATACGAGGGATGCCCTGTCAGCAAGGGGGTATGTGAATTAAACTGTTTACTGCTGTGTATGGGTCGAAACCTATCAAATTAAAAAAAACATAATTAAAAATTCAGAATTTTGTTCTGATCCCTATTTTCTTAAATTTGTTGGTGTTTTAACATAAATAATGTAAAATTTAGCATTAAATCATCCTGATCTAGAATCTAGATAAATTCTTACCTGTGAAGATTCAGGTTAGAATAGGTCTTCAGTAACCCATGCTTGCTATAAAAGGCGATTATGCTTGTAGAAGCGACCATCGGGATCGGGTGGTCAGGCTCGCTGTCTTGGTTGATGCATGTCATTGTATCTCAATTACGTAGATCGATTCTCATATTAATCACTGGATTGTCTGGTCCAGATTATTTACAGACTGCCGTCATATAGCTAAAATTTTGCTGAGTGTGGCGTTAAACAGATCAATTCTTGTACTGTGATGTAACCTGATTACACCACAATCCACAACACAATTCACTCAGCAGAGAGCATAATCGTACTTGTTGGTTTCCTCTGGGTCTAAGACCTGATTCACTTCCATCCTCCCACATTCATTTGATACGGCATGAAGTCACTGAAATACTGTTTAAAACAGTGCAAGCCAAACCCTCTCACTGTTGACATGACCATGTATGTTGCTGTCTCGTTGCAGGTGTTGCAGTTCGACATGTGGAATGTGAAGCCAGTCACCAAACTTGACTGGACAAGTCTTAGAGCCAAAATTGCCAAGTAAGTTTAAATTCTTCACTTGCTTGCAACTCACATGCTTCTCGTCAAGGACTACTCACATCACTGGATTTTTTTACGAAGGGGTGACTATTGGTCTGGAAATCGTTATTGCGATAACTATTGATAGTGAATGAAATCATTGCGATAACTATTGATATTGCAAGCAACTATTGCGATAAATATTGATAGTTTTTCAGTGTATTATTTTAGATGGATTTTAGAGTTGAATTAAACCTTGGAACTGAAGTTTCCTTTGAATGTGATAACCATAACAACAAATAAAAAGTAAAGTTTGAGATATGACTGATTTGTTTTTCTTTACCCTAATATTTTAAGAAAAAGAAACATCCACATTACCATGTGTAAATTACTACCACTCATGATCAAAAGAAAAAAACAAATATGAACAGCATTGCATGTATTTTAGTGATGTGGTAAATACAATCAAAACTATCAATATTCCTAACTGAAATCAATACTATTGATTGGAAACTGATTAAACAAATGATTTATTGACTTTAAGTGCTTACCAATAGCAATATATCGATATTTCGATTTATCGTGACACTGATGTCACAATTATTGATACTAATTCCTGTTTATGTGCAGGCATGGTGTCCGGAACAGTCTTCTGTTGGCTCCTATGCCCACGGCCTCCACGGCTCAGATCCTGGGCAACAACGAGTCCATCGAAGCCTACACCTCCAACATCTACACAAGGAGGGTCCTGTCTGGGGAGTTCCAAGTATGTCCTCGTCATCTGCATGATGTCAGATTCACATGGCACTCTTGGACCCTGTGCTTTAAAGAGAAATTTGAAAGTTCGGGGGTTCGATCCCCGGCCAAATGCCAAAAGATGTTTAAAGATGATACTTGTGGTTACCCTACCTAATACTTGGCATTGAGGGAATAAAACAAGGACTGGTTGGCTCGGAGTCCAGATACTGTGTCTGAGTGGGGTATCCATGTTAAAATGTGGCATGGTATCTCAATGAGTTAGCAGGGGGGTCGGGTAGCCTAGTGGTTAAAGCGTCAGCTCGTCACGCCGAAGACGCAGGTTCGATTCCCGACATGGGTACAATGTGTGAAGCCCATTTCTGGTGTCTGGATATTGCTGGAATATTGCTAAAAGCGGCGTAAAATCAAACTCAATCAATCAGTCAATCAATCAAGAGTTAGCACCATAAAACTTGTGTTGATCCCGACTAGTACAAGCCTGAAAACACATGTTTATGAACATCACTATAGAAGTGGTATAATCTTGGACACAAAGTTTTTCAACTCACCGTTAATAACGCTGTTCAAATGAATAAGGCATTTTGGTGTGACTTTAACGAGTTGTTGTCTGCTTGGTCAGGTGGTGAACCACCATCTCCTGAAGGACCTGACGGAGAGGGGACTGTGGAATGATGAAATGAAGAACAAGATGATTGCCAGTGGAGGCTCTATCCAGGTAACAGCTGTCGCAATTTGCTTACCTCACATAGTGATACATATTGCAGTACTTGCACGATGTTTGTGTAAAACTTTCCATGTTCCAACCAGTTTCTGTTAAGTTTTATTGCTTGACTGATTAATTTAGGCCTTTTTCAAAGTATTGGTTTATGGGATCCTCCAACCCGCAATACTGATCAAATGGGGGAAAAAAACATATAAAAAAATGTTATTTCCATGAAATGGGATGTTTTTTTGTTTTGCTCAGCAAAACCTTCAGATCTATCTTGAAAACCTAAACCAAAATGTGATAGACGTGAAAGTCTTTGGGTTATTTTTATCTGTAACGATTTTCTGCAGGGTATTGAGGAAATCCCTAAAGACCTGAAGGATCTGTACAAGACCGTGTGGGAAATCTCCCAGAAGACCGTCATCAAGATGTCAGCTGACCGGGGCGCATACATCGATCAGAGTCAGTCACTCAACATACACATCGCGGAGCCCAACTACGGCAAACTCACCAGCATGCACTTCTATGCATGGAAAATGGTATGTCATCTTTGTGTCAGTCTAGTCGATGCAGACTTTGAATTATGTTCTGTCAATTTTCTTGTACTCTGTTGAATACCCCATGTTTGTCTAAAGAATCCCCCAGGGACCGCTTCCGTGGTCTTGTGGTAGAGCATCTGCCCGGAGAGCGGAAGGTCCAGGGTTCGATCCCCGACCGCGTCATACCAAAAGACGTTAAAAGATGGTACTTGTTGTTACCCTGTCTGGCGCTCGGCATTAAGAGGCTAAAACAAGTGCTGGTCGGTGGTACTGAGTGGGGTATTCATGTTCAACTGCGGCATGGTATCTCAGTGAGCTAGCACTATAAATCGGCATCAGTCTGGACTAGTACAAGCAGCCACACAAACACACACACGTACATGCACGTCGCTATATAAGTGCAAAAATCTTGGACGCGACCTTAAACCCCATTTCACCTCACCACCCACCTCTAAAGAATCCAACATAAAGAATCTTCACGAACCCACGCTTATCGTAAGAGGCTACTTATGGGATCAGGTTTGCTGACTTGGTTGATGTATGTCATCGAATCCCAAGTGCATATATCCTTGCTCATGATATCAGTCACTGGATTGTCTGATCCAGATTCAATTATTTACAGGCTGCTGTCATATATCTGGAATATTTCAGAGTGTGGCGTTAAACAACAAACAAATGAAACCATCATTCCTCAGCACAATTTTGTAGACTCGGACTCGTAAATTTACCAGAATTTCGAAGGATGTCAACCATGTTTCTCTTTCTCCACAGGGTTGCAAGACGGGCATGTACTACTTGAGGACAAAGGCTGCTGCGGCTGCCATTCAGTTCACTGTCGACAAGTCCAAGTTGAAACCGCAGCAAAAGGAGACAAAAGAAGAAAATAAGGAGGACAATATGGCTGCCATGGTGTGCTCGCTTCAGAACAAGGATGAGTGCCTCATGTGCAGCGGTTAGAGTCCGGGAACTCGTTGACCGTATCTCCAAAAGACCCCGTAATTGTACATAACTGCAATCAGTGACTTCAGTGACAAGACCCAGAGCCCAGAGATTAGTAAATCTACCTTACATGCTTAAGGTCAAATCAAACTCATTTTAGTTTATATAATGTTTTCACTTTTGACAAATTTAGTGTAAAGAAACAGTTAGTTTTGTGCTTTAAATGTGACCTGAATATGAAAAAAACAAAATATGGTGAGGCAAGGTGATGCATAGTTTTTCTTGCACACTAACACTACCAATGATGAAGTGCCTTATCGAGTATTGTCAAGTGCTTTATTTATTTTCCTGAAAATTAAAAAAATACCAAAATGGATGGGCAAGGTGACTCATAAATATTCTTGCACACTAACACTGCCAATGATGAAGTGCCTTATCGAGTTGTCAAGTGCCTTATATATATTTTCTTGAAAATAAAACAAACCAACAAATGATTGGGCAAGGTGACACATTTTCTTGCACACTAACACTGCGAATGATCAAGTGCCTTGTGTCCTGTGTTCTTTCTTATCAGTTCCTCTCCAGCATTGTCTTCATGTTCTTACACAACTTTGGGGGCACGGGTGGCCCAGTCGTCTAAGGCGCCGCAATTCGCTGTGCAGAGTTGCGTCCCTTGGGCACGCCAGAAACCTATGATTGTGGGTTCGAATCCCGGTTCGCCCCGATTATGTTTCTAGGTTTGTCAGCACCATACCCGTGCTCTTGGGTTTCACCGAAGTGGTAAACGTGTGACCTGCATCACTTCGGGCTTTCCTCCCACATTAAGCTGACATGCCGCGATATAACTGGAATACTGTTAAAAGCGGCGTTAAACCCAACTCACTCACTCACTCTTACACAACTTCCAACAGCAATGTGACCTGTTACCAGGTGATTTCCAATTAGAATTTTATAGGTTAACCCAGTACTTGATTATTACAAATATGGTTTCAACAGTCTCTACTGCCACATTACAGACTGTTCATGATAGAGGGGTGGTTGGGTCGCCTAGAGTGTGCGCTCGTCACGTCGAAGACCCGGGTTTGATTCCCTACATGGGTACAATATGTGAAGCCCATTCCTGGTGTTCCCCACCGTGATATTGCTGGAATCTTGCAAAAAGCGGCTTAAAACTCTGATAGAAAATGACAATTTGACACTGTTTCACAGGTCTGTGTTGATCACATAATATTGTACTTGTAAAATGGCTGCACTATTCCATTTTACAAATATGAATTTCATTGTAGATACATTGCATTCGTTCCTGTCAGGTGTTACCGTGGTTACTGTGTTCAGGTTGTAGTTCTTCATGCTGCATTTAGATCCCAATCCTCAAATAGAGCATTTCTTTAACATGTTTAATGTGTTCATTATGACGAACCAGTCAACTCAGACTGAACATAGTCATTATCTCGAGGGCATCCTAGTTCCATCTGATTTAATGTACATTTATGTACCACAAACAAATCAAAGAACGCATTACATTTAAGAATTGATGTTATAAGTCTTTTCAGTCATTTGTCATTTGTCATTCTTCAATCACTTGTGGAAGTGTTGTGGACAGGTAGCAGGCATTGAAGATTTCTGCCACTGAAGGTCATGTGTCAATGTATGTGATAATGAGCTTTTGTTGGTTACTATTCTTGAGTTCATAATGTTAGTTGCAAAATGTTAAAGAGTCATATTCAATAAGGATTTGCTTGAAAGTGCTTGTCCCAAGGCATGCAGGAAACATGGATCCGTGTCACTGACTTCACATTGAGTAGTTTATCAGTTAGCCATTTGACATTCCTTTTGGATAAAAATTTCATTAAGACCATTCATCAATCACCAATCATATGTTCTTGCAGAGATGTTATCAGAATGTGTTGCCGTGGTTAGAACAGGTCCCTAGCATCCTGTGCTTGTTGTGAGAGGTGTTAAATAACAAACACAACATTGTGTGTCAGGTTAAATGCAGGGCCCTACATCACATTTGGCTAAAATACCCAGAAAAACATGTTTCAGGTATTCGCCAGTTGTTTCACTTGTGACCCAAATGTTTTATCACAGCTGGAAGCCATCAGTGAATCCATATTTAGCATTAAGACAAAAAATCCTTTTTTCACATATTGCTGTAGCTGTGGTGACCTACAAATTTGAGAAATTATTTTAATTTACATGTCCTTAACAGCCATCTGCAACGAATAATCCGCTGACTCGTATCTGGTGGGTCCATACGGTTGACCTTGGTCGTAGTTCCATACGGTTTGACCTTGGTTGTAGTTCCAAACGGTTGACCTTGGTCATGTTCCATACGGTTGACCTTGGTCACAGTTCCATACGGTTTGACCTTGGTTGTAGTTCCATACGGTTGACCTTGGTCATAGCTCCATACGGTTGACCTTGGTTGTAGTTCCATACGGTTTGACCTTGGTCACAGTTCCATACGGTTTGACCTTGGTCGTAGTTCCATACGGTTTGACCTTGGTCTTAGTGCCAATATGTCTGAACTCCCCTTCAACACATGATTGTCATAGCTATAGTGCTACTTTGTGAAACAGGTTCCCATATTGTAATTGACATGCTCATCCTAATTTCTTGGGACGATTTGTTCATTAACTTCGACACCATCATAATACTTGTATGTGTTTACTGGTATATTTCCTCAATGAATATTATACTCCAGGGTTTTATGCTTTTTTTTATGCTTCACCAGTGTTTTTGTGTCATGGTCATTACATTTAAAAAAACTTTATTCCACTGCAGATTTCTATATAAAGTCTTACGCTGTTACGTAAACTTTACACAGTGTCTTCAGCCACTGACTTGTCATGTCAATATGGGGCATTGGTCATAACCTGTACACAATGTCTTCAGCCACTGACTTGCCATGTCAATATGGGGCATTGGTCAAGTCTTTTCTAGAAGGTTGTGGAGTTACACGGCTAGAAGAGGTCATGTTGATGGATCAGGTGGTCAGGCTCAGTGACTTGGTTAATGGTATGTAAACATTCCCAGATGATTGGATTGTTGCTCATAATATCAATCACTGGACTTCCTGGTCCAGACTTGGTTATTTACAGGCCACTGTCATACAGTTGGAATATTGCTGATTGTGGTGTTAAACAAACGACAATTGAAAAGGGAAGCTATTTCTGTAAGTGAACATTGTTAAAGTTTGACTGTTGCTATTGTTATTGATTTGTTACATCCAATCTGTGCAGACTAATATTATCATGTTTGGTATCTGATAATATCAAATTGATGTGAGTGATTAGCCAGTTTGGCAACGTCCTTGTCCATGAATGTCCACCCCTGTACATAGAACCAATGTACAGACTCGCCTTGCTTTGTTGTACACTTTTTACCTGTACTGCATACTTCTGTCTGTATAACTGCTTCCTTCAGTGCAATAAATAAACTGAGGAACCTTGGCGTTACTTCTGTGTTTACCCGGACCGCCTCTGTGGTCTAATGGTAGAGTGTCCGCCCGGAGAGCGGAAGGTCCAGGGTTTGATCCCGGGCCGCATCATACAAAAAGACGTTAAAAGATTGTATTTGTTGTTACCCTGTCTGGCGCTCGGCATTAAGGGGCTAAAACAAGGACTGGTCGGCTCGGAGTCAGTATACTGTGTCTGAGTGGGGTATTCATGTTAAACTGCGGCATGGTATCTCAGTGAGCTAGCACTATAATCGGCATCAGTCCGGACTAGTACAAGCAGCCACACACACATACATGTGCATGCACGTCGCTATTTAAGTGCAATAATCTTGGACGCGACGTTAAACCCAATTTCACCTCACCTCACCTCTGTGTTTACCCCTCCCACAAAGTGGGGCAGAGGATGTAGGAATGGGTGTCCTCAGTCCGCTTCTCAATAGGGACGGGGGCGGTCGGGTAGCCTAGTGGTTAAAGCGTTCGCTCGTCACGCCGAAGACCCGGGTTCGATTCCCGACATGGGTACAATGTGTGAAGCCCATTCCTGGTGTCCCCTGCCGGGATATTGCTAAAAGCGGCGTAAAACCATACTCAGTCAGTCAGTTAGGCTCAATGGGGACAACTTAGTTTTAAAGTTCGAGAAATGATCTTACTTGTCATGGTCGTAAATACCGTATTCGATGTAATAAGCGCCCATGGCTCTCAAAATTAGAAATAGGGGACTCATTAGAATGTTTCTTTTTCACCAAAATACTAGAGTTGAAAGATAAATTTCGTGGTTTATGCTGACAGCCTGAAATGTTTATATACGACAGATATATTTTTCCAGAATTTAATTGCCCATAATTAAGGGTTCATATAATACACGAGTGCGTATTATACACGAATAAACAAGTCTTGTGTACATTGATCAATTGGAAGGGGTGCTAATTGGGATTGTTCACAAGCCAATATATTAATAAATATCGCCGTGGGCGCTTATTACGTCGAATACGGTAAGTTTGAAAATTGGTACCATAAATCATTTATTTACCGAGTTAAGGCCCTTGCTCTGGGCTTGTCAACTTGGTGCAAACTGGTGAACTGGGGACAAGTTTTCTCAGATACAACTGAAGTTAGGTGAATGAAAGTTTGCATGATTTTTCTGAGGCTGAGTTCGAAAATTGGAGCCATCAAATTCCAGAGTTACATCCCTTGTTTGTGCATACAGTTACGACCCTTGATCCATGTATTTATTTTTTTTGGTGCGTAGAGTCGGCAATTTGGGAAAGTTTTCTCAGGATCTACTGTAGTTAAATAAATGAAACTTTACAAGTTTATCTGAAAGGTTTTTACCTTAATTAATGTGAAATGTTTAATTGTTTAATGAAGTAGATCTGCACATGGAGACATGCAGATATTGCTAAAATTGAAACCCACAACGTTGTGAGCGCGTTTAAAATTACATGGGGTCATGGGCCATGGGGATGAGTTATCGTTGGAAAGATGTAACCAAATTTAAGAAAGAAACTTTATCTTTGTCTCACATGTGAATAATGATATGTGTACATACGAAAACCATAAATAATTATGAGTTATTGTTTAAAAACATTCCTAACTGTAAATTATCAAACTAAACATGTTTATGGTTTTCTGCAACTATCATAACAGGGAGCCACGTCCTGTCCTAGACAGGTTTTTAAGCCCTAAAGCGCTTGCGCTCCTCGCCTGCAGCTCTAGAAGGCGAAGGGCAGGGTACCTGTCCAGCACTATTCGACCTATTTCCCAATACAGCATTTCGCTGCGGTGTAATGTTGACCCATTTCCGCGAAGCGGGTCTGTCTGTGGAGAGGGTCTGGAGCAGGCCTATAGCATATCGCTATGCGTCGTTGACCCATTTTCCGTGAAGCGAGATATTAACACTTTTGGACAGTGTGAATAATTGACGTGTCAGGTTAAATTAAGTGAGTGAGTGAGTTGGGTTTAACGCCGCTTTTAACATGATTCCAGTTATATCACGGCGTGTCAGCTTAATGTGGGAGGAAAGCCCGAAGTGATGCAGGTCTAAGACGTTTACCATGTCAGGTTAAAGGAGTAAATATATGACAATTAGGGAGGTAATTTTCATAGAGAAGTATGGTTCATGGTTAAAATAAACGCGCTCACAACGTTGTGGGTTTCAATATTAGCAAAATCTGCATGTCTCCATGTGCAGATCTACTTCATTATAAAATAATATAACAACAATGTAGCTATTACTTTGAAATGATTAATTGTGAATAAATATTATACTTTACCGGGGCACGGGTGGCCCAGTCGTCTGAGGAGCCGCGATTCGCTGTGCAGAGTTATGTCCCTTGGGCACGGCAGAAACCTTTGATTTTTGGTTCGAATCCCGGTTCGTCCCGATTATGTTTCTAGGTTTGTCAGCACCATACCCGTGCTCGTGGGTTTCACCGAAGTGGTAAACGTCTGAGACCTGCATCACTTCGGGCTTTCCTCCCACATTAAGCTGACACGCCGCGATATAACTGGAATACTGTTAAAAGCGGCGTTAAACCCAACTCACTCACTCACCCCTCCCAATCCCTATCAGAATTTGAGCAGTGTATTTCAAAGACGGCTAAATAAGGCGACGGGTGCAATCGCACCGCCGTTAGCAATACCCGTGCAGAGTGAATGAAAGACAGTGAAGCAGTATCTTCACAATGACCCTCGTGAACCATGTGCTTCGCGTGCTTCACGTGCACGAGTTGGATAAATACCACGAGGCAATCCCCCCCAGTCTTGCAGAAGTCAGTTTGAAGACGGAGCGTGAGGTTGAATTCCGTAGGTGAGAGTCGAATTTTGTCACAGTACCGAATTTATTGTTTGTTTTTGTTGTAAACGAATTTTAGGTGGTCTAGAAATGACAATTACATTGAAGATATCTTTTTTTTTATAGCATATTGCATTTGTACAATTTCAGTAATACAATCGTTAACTACCCTGAAGTGTCCAGGTTAACATTGCGTTTCCAATAAGCCGTTTGTATAGATCCTGTATTTGTGACAATAGAATGAAGATAATCTGAAATTGTAACTTGGTACAATCATGTACAAATGTTAATTTATTGTTTAACGCCGCACTCGGCAATATTCCAGCTATATTGCGCCGGCCTATGCTTATAAAAGGCGACTAACGGGATCGGGTGGTCAGGCTCGCTGACTTGGTTGAAGCATGTCATCGATTCCATTTGCGTGGATCGATGCTCATGATATCAATCGCTGGATTGTCTGGTTCAGACTCTATTATTCACAGACCGCCGCCATATAGCTGGAATTTTGCTGAGTGCGGCGTCAAACAAACAAACAAACAAACAACCTGAGAATGCCCGTGGCATGGATACCAGCAACTTAGTTTACTGGCTTTCCACTATTTGAAAAACATTTATTTTCGTCCTATAAACTACAGGTGCCAATCTCGCTGAAAAATGCATGTTTCATTTCAGGAAAGATGAAGATCCTGTTTTTGGTCATCCTGGTGCTCTGCATCAGTGCGATTGAAAGCCAAAAAAAGAAGAAAGGCAAAGGCGCGGCTTGTACGTATCTGACTTTTGGAATTCTGTCAAAGGATGAGAAATCTTGATGGCTTGCTCCCTTTGGGATTAGCGAGTGATTTGGGTTTAACGCCGCATTGAACATTATTCCAGTTATCATGGCGTGTCTGCTTTAATGTGGGAGGAAAGCCCGAGCTGAGCAGGTCTCGGACGCTTACCACTTTGAAACCCACGAACACGGGTATTGCGCTGACTAATGTGGAAACATAATCGGGGCGAACGGGAATTCAAACCACCAATCCTAAGTTTTCTAATACTGTGCAAAGCGGCGTTAATCCCCAAATCGCTGTATCACTCTACAGGTGTACTGGTAAAACCGTGCAGTTTGGATTTTGCTCCGTAAATGTGCATTCTTCTATCTTTCCGTTTCAACTGTTTGATTTGAGATACCTCATTCCAACACGTACCGCCTCCGTGGTCTAGTAATAGAGCGTCCGCCTGGAGAGCGGAAGGTCCGGGGTTTGATCCCCGGACGAGTCATACCAATAGACGTTAAAAAATGGTACTTGTTGTTACCCTGTCTGGCGCTCAGAAATAGTTGTCTAAGACAAGGACTGGTCGACTCGGTATACGGTGAGTGGGCTACCCATGTTAAACTGTGGCAGGGTATCTCGGTGGTCTAGCACTAAAAATGGGCATCAGTGTACACAGACGTGCAATAATCTTGGACGCGAAGTTAAACTTCATTTCACCCCATCTCATTCCAACACATGTCGCGAAATATGCCTGTGAGTAGTGATAGATTTCTAGCGTTTACTATCTGGAAGTTAATTTAAGGTACCGACGTTTACTACAATATCTGAAAAACTATTGGACCTACTCCAGTCAAAGTTGGTATGAGATTATTAAACAGTTATACATAACTGGATATTACATTTAAAGACAATCGGTGCATGAATAAAATATGTCTATTTAGCTATCACTATATTTCATGAACAACCAGACCTGTTCGTCACGGGTGGAACGAGCATTCATTGAAACAGCCATCTGCATAATGCTACCCCTGCGTCACAGGGCAATATGACAGTTGAACCAATCGACTCAACTCAAAAGGTTGCACGGGTATCACGCACGCTCGAATACGGTGTTAGCGTTGGGCGTCTCGAGCAGTTATTTAATAATATTTATCCAATTATTTTTGCATTCTTTTTCAGGTCCGTGTTATTGACTTGAATGTATCATTCCTTGCCACATTATTATATTTCATGCATCGTGTTATTAGGTGTAATATATCATACGTAATTATTCATTCAGACAAATCATTGCATTATGGTTTCGAAGACAATATTTTAATATTTTCGCAGATGATTTGAGACTTTCGGGTCTGTTTCGGGTGAAAGACAATCAAATTCTGAGCCAAGAATTGCACAAAGTGGACAAGATCCGATTACGACATGTAATACAAAGCACGAACCTGTAATTCGTAGAAGATTCCTAGAAATTCTTTGATAAACAATTTTTGTTCTCACGAATCCCACGAACTACAAGAATGTTTGGGAATCAAATAAGATATATGTAAGATTCTTAAGAAATGATTAAGAATATGTATGAATATGTAAGAATTCATATCCGTGGTAATTCGGGCTATTATTGCACTATTCTTGGTCCCACGAAATGCCCTCGTCAGAATCGGAGTCTGTGCTGTCGCCTAAATGAACAGGCTGGACAGTATCTGGTCGGATACAGTCTTGTTTCCAATACTCTTCCTCATCTTTGATAACATGTTGGACACAGTTTGCCCAACGTACATCTGTAATTTCTCCAATCCCTTTCAAGGCATCTGCTTGACGTCGGCAAGCTTGAAGGTCTTATTTTGCCGTGCGACCATATTTTTTCAAATCACCATAGATTAGTTCGATGGGATTCAAGTCACAATGGTAAGGAGGAAGTCTAAGCACTTCGTGACAGTGTTCTCTCAACATGTTGTCAAGCAAATAAGAGGGCGGGGGTTTGTTCTGAAGAACCAGTTGGTAGTAATCAGTTTTTTTGGCTTTCGTGGGCCGAGCAATGGGGTTGTCCAACCACTGACATATCTCACCTTTGGAATTTGAGGTTGGACAACGGTTTATAGGATCTCCCCATCTCAAATCGTGTCGTGTTCCAGAGCGTCATTCCTGAGTTTACACAGGTATTCCATAAGTCTCGGGCATTAACACTTTATTTGATTCACAACTCTACCCCTGTAACTGTTACGCGCCAACTTTTTTGTTTTCCAGCACGGAAGAAAAATATCTGCCAAAAGGATATGCGGATCCTGGTGTCGGTCATGCGCGTGTGCAATGCATACAAACGCGCATCCCGGTTCCGTATGAAGAACTGGGACAGTTTGCGTAAATACATACGATATGCACTGTCTATGGCGCTAAGGAAGGGCAAGAAACCACCTCCCAAGGGCAAGAAACCACCTCCCAAGGGCAAGAAACCACCTCCCAAGGGCAAGAAACCGCCTCCCAAGGGCAAAGACGATAAGAAGAAAGAATCCCGTAGCTATCAGGACGAGGACATCAGTTTAGACGATGTGGATACTGGTAGTTTCGACGATGACGAGTATTCTTGGAGCATTCACGACGACGATTCCACTAATAACTTTGACGATGAGGGTGACGGCCTTGACGAAGAGGATGCCGGTGACGGCCTTGACGATGAGGATGCCGGCGAGGATGACTCCGAATCCGACCCTCCGTCTAAACCCACCGACACAGAGGCCGAAATCCAAGCACTCCGCCGCTATCTGAAGCTGTCGGGCCGAGACAGACACGAACGTGAGTAGTGGTGCCAAACGGCAAGGGGCATTTTTTCAAGACAAAATGCATTTAGGGTATGACGCTGTCAAAGAAATAGCCGGTCTCAAACGTGCATTATAAGTGGTGTGCATACACGCGTAAAAGCCAAAATAAGCATACTGCACATGTTATATCAATATATTTTGATATTTTATTTTATGGACTGAAGACGGAGCAGTTTCTTATGAAGTTTGAATCACATTTCATGATCTCTTGAGTGTATATTTAAGTCTTTGATCGGTAAAGTGCATATGATTGTTCCATTTTTCTGAGAACACAATTGAACGACCCTATGGTAAGAGCCGTGTTGTGACAATAAAATAGAAAATATTTCTTTCCTCCTCACCCACTCCAAAACCCTAAATATTTGGCTCTATTGAACACCAGTGCACTTTTTAAAATGTTCTATTTCTAACAATGATGAATAGTACCATGATCACTTTTTTTTGCCATTTCTAGAACTAATGGTAAGAAAGGCGAACAATGTAAGTTTCGTCCTCAAATTGGAGTGCCATTTTTTTATCTGTGCATCGATAAAGTTTACTTTTTCAGTCTGTTTATATGAACACATACACGGGTTTACGGAGGTGGCCAAATCAAGTTAAGAACCACCCGATTCTTTCGCATTACTATAGTTACTCATATGGCAAGACGGATTTGAGAACGAATCGGGGGTGTAACTTTGGAGTCATATATAAATACATGGAGCTATGAATGCTATAAACCAATCGGATAAATTTGGCATATAGATCCAATACCTATGCAAATGAGGTCACCTAACGCTGCACTCTGCAGATATTCCAGCTATGACGGCGGCCTGTAAAATAAACGAGTCTGGACCAGACAATCCACTGATGGACATCATTAGCATCGATCTCCGAAAATGGGACACGATGACCTGCATCATCCAAGTCGGTTGACCACCCGATCCTATTAGTCGCCTCTTACAAAAATCATAGTCGCCTTTTCCGGCAAGCATTGGTTAAGGACCAATTCTAAATCGGATCTTGACGGGTCCAACGGGATATCCAGTTGTCTAACAAGACTGTCTAACTGTACCCAAATGTTAACGCATGGTAATTGTGCTAATATACTACTCAAAGTTAAGGATCACCCAATTCTTTCATATTGGTAATGTTAATCTGTCATGGCATGAGAGATTAACTATTGTAATATGAAAGAATCGGGTCATCCTTAACTTCTTTTGAGTAGTATACTTACAGGCATACATATACTCCCGCGGAGATTTCCCTGTCGAATAGGCCCCAGCAACCAATGCTGTGAAGAGGCGACGTGATGAATCGGGTGGTCGGACTGTTTGTTTGTTGTTTAACGCCGCACTCAGCAATATTCCAGGTATATGACGGCGGTCTGTAAAATAAACGAGACTGGACCAGACAATCCAGTGATTGACATCATGAGCATCGACCCACGCAATTGGGATCGATTGCATGTATCAACCAAGTCAGCGAGCCTGACCACCCGATCCCATTGTCTCTTACGGTCGGACTGACTTGGTTCATGGCGAGACATCGTACAGGGCGGCGTGGGTCGTTCCTCACAATATCACCAGATTGTTTGGTCTAAACTCGGTTGCTAACAGCCCTCGAATAGCTGAGGCGTATCCAATTTATGGTCGTGTTTTAAGGCGCTGTGACATCTGTGACGTCATTCTATTGTTTGAACACTCCATTATTTTTCAGGAATGGAGTTGCTTGTCAACTGTACATTATCTTAAGCAGCATTTGAATTTTTCAAATATTTTCAACTACAGAATATTGTAGGGATGAGTTTTAAGTAGGGGAATATCCTCGTAAGTCTCCATTCCTTAAAAATAATGGGCCTCTGCTCCATTATTTTTAAGGAATGGAGTTCCTCGGACATTCCCCTCTACTTAATTTTCTATTCCTCGTGTTTCTCTATGCTACAATCTAAGTGAACTGTAGATGTATGCTCTTTATTATAATTTGAAGGTGCCGCAAAGCGTAAGCAAAAAAAGAAGGATCCATTTAGAAGTCTGAGGATGCTTTGTTACAAGATGTCGCGGCTGATGTACAAAGGGTATGTTGATCCTCTCAATACTACTAAGGACCCGTGATGGTTGGTTGTTTAACGCCTTGCCCCGTGAAGATCCGGGGTAGAATAGGTCTTCATCAACCCATGCTTGCCGTAAAAGGCGACTAACGGGATCGGGTGGTCAGGCTCGCTGACTTGGTTGATACATGCCATCGTGTTCCAATTGCGTGGATCGATGCTCATGATGTCAATCACTGTATTGTCTGGTCCAGACTCGTTTATTTTACAGACCGCCGTCATATAGCTGGAATATTGCTGAGTGCGGCATTTGGGATCAAATGCTGAAAGACGCTTGGGGTTAATCGCTCGTCGTGTGCCAGAACACAACTTGACCATATCCAGATTTTTCTCTGGAGCAAGCGTGTCCACAAGCCAATATCAAAACCTAGTTTCCACCCTTGCCATTCAAGCCTTCTTTTCTGTGTTAAAATATGAGTATGAGTGGACAATCTCTCATCGATGATCACCAGTCATCGCTGTCGAATAGCTTGATTGTTTTGCTGAAAACGTCGTGTTTCTATGGACGTTGGATCGACGAGCAACGTCACGCTGCGAGGTACCAGACTGAAGCATACCTATAACTCTCCATCTGTCATCTTCTCTCCTCCCCCTTCTCCCCCCCCCCCCCCCCCCCCCCCCCCGGCGTGGCATGTCGAACATGTTCCAGATCGATGAATAGGGGCGTTTTTTTTCGGAATTCTGCACTGGGTGGATGCCTGGTTATCTGGCCTTTCTAAAGTGAACATTGCTGCCATTTTCGCCGAATGTCATGCCTCTTGTCTCTGCTTGGTTGTTACTTGCTACTGTGTAGTCTCACTCGTCTTCATCCCTGTTTGAGCGAAATGCTGCAGAAAATATAGGTAGGTAATTTTACTGGGATCTCACGTTTTGTCTACCATGCGTGAAGAACCGGGTTTGAATAGGTCTTCAGCAACCCATGCTTGCCCTAAAATGCTTGTCGTAAGAGGCGAATAACGCGATCGGCTGATCAGGCTCGCTGACTTGTTTGATGCATGTCATCGTATCCCAATTGCGTAGATCGATGCTCTTTATGTAAATCGCTAGATTGTCTGGTCCAGACTCGTTTATTTTACAGACCGCCGTCATATAGCTGGAATATTGCTGAGTGCGACGTCAAACAACCAAGAAAATGGTCTGTTGGGGTTGAAATCATCTTTTTGTCGGCTACGGTAATCATTCGACATGGATATCGCGTTTTCATCACAAGGGGCACGGGTCGTGTTCTACACAGGTGGTGTCACGATCGAGCCACAAAAAGTTGGCTTGAAATTGCTACAGTAGAACCCTTTTCAAATTGGCTAGTGGACACTCATGCCTTTCGTCTTTCAACCTGTAATTTCAGTTTATGCTCTAATTTTTTCGTATCTTTGTTGCAGGTGAAGGGCGGGTATTTACTGTGAAAAGGACATCAATAAAACTGACTAAAATGTTCTTGTTTTGTTATGATTCGGATGTTTTGGGCTGATCACTATTGCAGAATTAGCTACTGATTATTACAACGGTCATTTCACCCCCACAGTATTCATATATACTACTCAAATCAAGTTGTTATAGACCATCCAAATTGGACTGTAGTTCATCTATAATTGTGGATGTTCTTTAGCTGCGATTATATAGGAATACTCAAAGGAAAAAGAGTTTATTGATGACATTACTACAAATAAAACTGTACAAAGAAATGACGCACGTACGTGAGATGGTTTAACGCCACTCTGAACATTATTCCAGTCACGGCGTGCTTGGCAGCTTGATGTAGAAGGAAAGCCCGAAGTAATGCAGGTCTCCGACGTTGACCACTTTCGTGAAGTCCACGGATACGGTGCTGACAACCTAGCAACATAACGGGATTCGAACTCTGAATCGTGTTTCTGTCTTTGACGCAACTCTGCCGAACCAGAGCGCGAATTGCGGAACCTTCGACGACTTGGCCACCAGCACGAACACGCACTAACCAAACGCGCGCACGCATCGATCGGACACTGGTGTAACGGGGGTTTAATACCATTAATGCATATTTCGATTAAAAGTCGCACCTCAAGTGTCTTGATTTCCCTTTTTATTTATTTATATGATGTACATCTTTTTGAGAAATGAAGTAAAATATGCTTCAGCATGTGGAAAGAATATAGCATTGGTTGGAGGAAAGTCATTTTTATATTTAACCTTAACAGTTTAAAACCACCACGTCCATTTTTCACTTTCAAAGTTTTGCCTCGAACAATGAGAAATATGAACATGATATTTTGTTTGCCTGTTTAACGCCGCACTAGCAATATTTCAGCTATGACGGCGGTCTGTAAATGTCTGGAGCAGATAATCCAGTGATTGACATCATCAGCATCGATCCACGCAATTGGGATACGATGACATGCATCAACCAACTCGGCGAGCCTGATCACCCGATCCCGTTACTCGCCTTTTACAAGCATTCGCCATGGCATAGCATGGGTTGCTGAAGACCATTCTACCCCTTCCCCCTTCTTGAAGTATAACGGCATCGAACGGTAAACCGTTGTTGTGGATAGAGCGACTACCAGTGCAAAGGTCCGTGGTTCGATACCTGGCTGTGTCATACCAAAGCGCGTCAAGGGATGCTACTTTCCTGACGCTCAACATTGAGATAAAAACAAGAACTGGTCGGCTCGGAGTCGGTATTGGGGTATCCATGTTAAACTGCTGCATGGTACCTCGGTCGGCTAACACTATAAATCGGCATCTGAGATTTCTTATGAATATGTTTTTTTTTGTTTTTTTTTAAACCGCTTTTATTTAAGATAGTTGTATCAAAACAGCTTTTTGTAGAACGGATATAGTTGAAATTCAGGAAACGATACTTATTCATACTGTTACGTGTCGACATCGGCCTTATGCATACCTGGTGTCAAGTATTGTAATGTTTGGCCAATTCGACCAGTTCGACCAGAGCAGACTTGTTCCGCAGAAGATTGGCAAACAAACTCATACTAAACACTAGAAGTGAATGTTGGGTTCCCACAATATTAAACAATAAAATGTTTATACAGAAGGTTTGACAAATTATTATGTGATGTTAAATTCCGCTCCCGGACGAGCCCCCTTTTCCTGTCACGTGTCCTCTTCCAAATTGAAACGGGGCGGTCGGGTAGCCTAGGTTAAGCGTTCGCTCGTCACGCCGAAGACAGTTTCGATTCCCGAAATGGGTACAATGTGTCAAGCCCATTTCTGGTGTCCCCCCGACGTGATATTGCTGGAATATTGATAAAAGCGGCGTCAAACCACTCACTCACTCCAAATTGAAACGATAAGTTAACCCAGAAATCCGCACGTAAAAGAAAGGTGTGAAACAAGGAAATGGTACAAAGACCTAGGTTTACAAATCGATACACATTACTGTAAGGAAATTATGACGGTTCATAGTGGCAGTACAATAAATCACAATAACTTTGACCCAGAGGATCAACACGACGCAAAGACATCTTGTAGCATCCCTACCTGTTGATGCAAGTACCTATACTAAACTGACGTCCAAAAGAAACTTTACCAGAGTTTGAAATCACTCTTGCTCAAAAACAAAACATACATGCATGAAGTAAAGTGTATTGAGAAGATCAATATATCAACAAAATCAATACTGAAAATGACGTCAGAGCCCCCCCCCCCCCCCCCCCCCCACCAAAGTTGGGTGTGGTACAAAACTCGAGCTTTCAGAATCCTAGACAATAGGCAGAGTACATAAACAATCGCTCACGTTCAATAACAAGTCATTAGTAGCGTGTGTGACCACCAAATGCCTCAATGCACGCAAAAACTCTTCGACGTACAGAAAAAGTGATGAGGTCACGTGGGATTTGACGCCATTCTTCTTGGAGGGCCAAGATCAGTTCTTGCCGGTTGGCTGGAGAGTGTGGTCGTTGTCGAACACGACGATCCATCAAGTCCCAGAGGTGTTCTATGGGGGACATGTCGGGTGAGCGCGCAGGCCACAGTAGGACGTTGACGTTGTTGGCTGCGAGGAAGTTGGTGACAATTCTGGCTGTATGGGCTCTAGCGTTGTCATGCTGATAAATGACACCACGTGGCTGCTGTTGGAGAAATGGTAGGACAACTGGACGAAGAATGTTATCCATGTAACGCTGAGCTGTCAAGTTTCCGTCAACGATGACCATTGTATTATAAGAGACTCTCCAAAACACATTTTTTTGCATGACATCCCGTGAACAATTTGTTTTGGGTGAAAAGACTCTCACGGGTTCGATTCCCCACATGGGTACAATGTGTGAAGCCCATTTCCAGTATCCCCTTCCGTGGTATTGCTGGAATATTGCTAAAAGCGGCGTAGAATCATAGTCACTCTTCGTCTTCTATTTGACGTAATTGTAACAAACACTGAAATTCAAATCGTCTTAAAATACACTTATATACACACAGGACAGTTATAAATGGTCTCCATGTACATCTGTACATTCGGAAATTAGACCCGTGAAGATCCGGGGTAGAATAGATCTCTTCAGTAACCCATGCTTGCCGTAAAAGGCGACTATGCTTGTCGTAAGAGGCGACTAACGGGATCGGGTGGTCGGGCTCGCTGCATGTCATCGTTTCCCAATTGCATGGATCGATGCTCATGATGTCAATCACTGGATTCCCAGGTCCAGACTCGATTATTTACAGACCGCCGTCATATAGCTGGAATATTGCTGAGGGCGGCGTTAAACAACAAACAAACAAACGTTAGAGGCGACTAACGGGAGTGGGTGGTCAGGCTTGATGACTTGGTTGATACATGTCATCGTATCCAAATCGCGTGTCAATCACTGGACTGTCTGGTCCAGACTCGATTTGATATACAGACCGCCGTCATATTGATGGAATATTGCAGAGTGCTGCAACAACAAACAAACAAACATTGGGAAATTAAACAAATTTAACACTTTTTGACAAAATTAACACTACATGTATTTTCCCATTCAATAACTAACGTGGAGTACGACACCTTACCCCGTACCGTAATATCAGTGAGTGAGTGAGTTGGATTTAACGCCGCTTTTAACAGTATTCCAGTTATATCACGGCGTGTCAGCTTAATGTGGGAGGAAAGCCCGAAGTGATGCAGGTCTCGGACGTTTTACCACTTCGGTGAAACCCACGAGCACGGGTATTGTGCGTAAAATCAGAGTCAGCGTCTTGCTTGATCAGGTGGTGTCATGCCATAATGGTGGAGATCGTCCTTTATGTTTTCAGTCAATTGTTTTCAGTCACCTTTCTCAACGAGACCCTTCTTCGCTGCAAACCTGTTCTTTCTAAAGTTATTCGTTTTATTTGCTCGTTATATCGATTCAATTATTAACAGCGGGAATGTGGCGTTGAGTGAGTGTGGTTTTACGCCGCTTTTATTAATATGCCAGCAATATCACGGGGGTATGGGTGTCGAGGAGGGGGCGCCACGATGGGTTTTCACATTGTTACAATGGAATCTTACCAGGGCCTCCGGCGTGACGTGCAAACGCTTTAACCCCCGGGGTTACGTCACCGCCCCTGTAGCGTAGAACGTCATGCACATTTAGGCCCCGACGTGAGGGCGCTGATCCAATTTTGGTACACCAGATGCCGAGCCCTGTTAGGTGGTATTACAGATGCCGCAGCCGCGGTGCAGTGCATGCCACGACATGATTGTCTGGTGCGCGGATGTCAATATGTCAGTGTTGAAATTAATTTTTTTACCTTTTCTCTTGCAAAGAATGACGAATATATAACATATTTAGCCCTAGGCTTATGAGCACGCATGTTCATGCATACTGTGTGAAAATCCCAGTCCAGTTTACTTCTACCAGCTGTGTACACTGATATGACCAGTTTTTAAATTGGATGCCAATGTAGCAGGGCGTGGAGTCATCCCTAAGATGACATCCTTACCTTGTCAGCTTGCTGACGGGGTTAACCTCTTTGGTCATGTGGACAAGGCGTCCGACCTCTGCTCGGAAGGTCCGTGGTTCGAATCCCATCACGGAACTCGGAAATTTTATGGCCGCTACATTGGCGCCCAACGTGGGGATGAGCACGTTCATATTAAATTTCAGCAAAATACGTGTCAGTACCCTACTATGCGGCCCGGGATGTGCCTTCTGTTGACGGGGGAGTATGCAGCAGGGCGTGGAGTCGTCCCACAGATGACATCCTCACCTTGTCAGCTTGCAGGACGGGGTTAACCTCTTTGGTCATGTGGACAAGGCGTCCGACCTCTGCTCAGAAGGTCCGTGGTTCGAATCCCATCACGGGACGGGGATATTTTATGGCCGCTAAACCAAGACAAATTAAGTGGTATGCTTGATGCAAGAGGTAGGGCTTGGCACCCTCTTACATCGTTGCTTTTAAATAAATCCAAAGTCAGTTTAACATTACAATCCGGGCCTCAAACAGAAGACAACAAACATCCGGGCCATATCCGTGTAAAACCGCGCGCAGCACGTGTTTCACATGCACGAGCGGTATAAAATCCACGTGACACGCCTGCCTGATGCGAGTCAGTTAGAGGGCGGTGAGGGTATTTGAGCATCAATTGTCTGTCAAAGGTGAGAGTTGATATTTTGATGATATTGAATTCTGTGTTGCTGAATTATTTTGCGGATTATTGTTATCATTATTTTCATTTGGGAAAATTATTGCGGCATAAATAATTATTTCGCCTGAAAATAGCGGTCTTGGTGTTGTATCGTGTATGTGCTGGGCAAATAATAGCGGGGGATTAATATTTCTGTTTAGTATGCTACGGTCAGAAATAAAAATAATATGAATGAAAGAACTAAGTATGCGGGGCAATATTAATTTCATGACTCGGACACAATTTAAATAAGATTTAATAGTGAAATACACCATACGAAACTGATATTATGTGTAAGAATGTTATCTGTATTTTTATGAGTAACTTGCGATACTCCTGTGCTTGGTGATTAACATTGCGTGTATTTGACAATTTACAGACCGCCGTTATACAGCTGATATATTGCTGATTCGTGTTGTCGCCGTTTCGCAGCATCTGACAATTTAGTGTAAGTATTTACGAGCATCAGGTGATAAAGTGTTTACCAATATTTTACTGCATGCTCTTTCAAGAAGATTTCAAAGAGCGTCATACGACACTTGCTCAGGGATACAATATTCAAGGCCCTAGTAAAGCTTTCAAAAAGGTTTATGGTAGACGTGTGGAGGACATTTTCACATGTGACGTATCAATGACAAAATGATGTCCAAAGCAATTCCCAATATTGACGAGTACCAAATGTTCCCGTGTGTTTTTTTTTAAAGTAAATGATTGACTTGCCTTGGAATGTGTGTGTGACGGGTGACACCGTAGGGGCAGGATACGCTGACCTTTTCGCGAACACCTGGTATCTTTTTGTGATGGCGATTCCTAAACACATGCTCATGAAGTCGGAGTTGTACTAAGGACTTAATACTTAAAGGGACAGACCATTTGTGTTATTTAGGGGCGCGGCTTGTGGCCTGAATAGATATTTTTCAGCTAAAGCTGCAAGACCAGATTTTTAAAAATCATATTTCGCTACAACGTTTTTTGAGACATTATTTCCAACAGTTTGAATTAGCTATAGGTTCTTCAAGCATCTTCCGGGACAATTTATTTTTTCGATAAAATCCAGGAATATTTCTGAGTGCAGCGTTAAACACAGAAACACTTGAAAATGCGCTGTTCCTTTCAGGAGAGATGAAGCTCCTGTTCATGGTTGTCCTAGTGATGTGCATCAGTTTGACAGCATCCCAGAAAAAGAAAGGCAAAGACATGTTGTCTGGTAGGTATGACCCGATCCAAGCATCAATGATGTCAAATACGGTCTTGGTTAAAATTACATTTGAGACGGTGCCACATTCAGGACAGTCGGATTAATTTGGCCTCATATCTGAATGAGAAATATTCAGAAATACCAACCGGAGAGGGAGGAAAATGTGTAATATTTGTTTGCTCAAATCTATCTGTAATAATCGAGTTTGGACCAGACAATTCAGTGATTGTCATGAGCATCGATCGACGCAACTGGGATACGATGAAATGCATCAACCAAGTCGGCGTGCCTGACCACCGTTAGTTGCCTTTTAGGACAATCATAGTCGCCTTTTACCACAAGCATGGGTTGCTGAAGACCTATTCTAGGGTGCATGGATGAGTTTGAAGTTGTATTGCCTCTATCCTCAGTTAGGCGTCCTCAAGTTGACAGACCGCCTCCGTAGTCTAGTGGTAGAGCGTCCGCCCTGTCTGGCGCTTGGCATTAAGGGGCTAAAACAAGGACTGGTCGGCTCGGTGTCAGTATACTGTGTCTGACTGGGGTATTCGTGTTAAACTGCGGCATGGTATCTCAGTGAGCTAGCACTATAAATCGGCATCAGTCGGACTAGTACAAGCAGCCACACACACACGTACATGCATGTCGCTATATAAGTGCAATACTCTTCGACGCGACGTTAAACCCCATTTCACCTCACCTCAAGTTGTTGACCTGGCGTCTGTTCTGTTTAATGCTGGCACAGTGGCAAGTCACTACCTATACCGCATACACTACACATGATGTTTCCAAAGACGCATGGGGATGCCGGAAGTGAAAGGTAGCAATCTTTTCAATGCCGTTCGTTAGTGAGAGGGCAAGTTAACGTCATCAAATGGACCCTCCTCAATTAAAGGGACGGATTGTATTTTGACTCGGGCCATATTTGGCCTCTGGTCATGCACTGTATGTTTGGGGAAATGGATATAAGTATAATTAAAATATTATTTCAGCAGAATTATCAGAACTCCGTCAAGAAGACAATAAATATGTAAATAAATTGTTTCTTGGTTTTAATGATTCAGAAACATATTTGGCTAAAATCCTTGGCAACCAATATTATCAGATGTAAATAACTGAAATTTGAATACTGATGGTTCAGAATAGGTTCAGAATAGGTCTTCAGCAACCCATGTTTGTGGTAATAGGCGACTAACGGGATCGGGTGGTCGGGCTCGCTGACTCCTCCTCAGCTGAAATATTGCTTAGTGCCGCGTAAAACAAGCAAAGCTTATGTTTATGCGTGTTTACGCATATGCATATCGGAACATCATATCGTCGACACTAACATCCGATATCAAACTAGCTTATTTCCTTTTAATTTCGCGAGAGCCAAGTATTAGACCCTGCGTGTAGTGGATAAATACGTTTTACAGTTCCTTTGGGTGATCGATCGGCAGCCATTTTCTTAAATGAAACTTCTTTTTCGATATGTAGGCTACCGATGTATTCTTACGCACGCTTTTTTGTGTGAAAAGGCTAAATAAATTTGAAAGGTGTTTCTGGGACAAAATGGAAACACTTTTAACCAATCGCAATCAAGGACTCATCAATGTCATGGTAGAATGTTGGTTTCTTAATGTATAGTTGGGTGATTTTTAAAAAAAAATCATATTTTTATATCTTGCAGGAAAGAAGATTTGCAAAAAAGATGTCTTGTTCCTGCTGTCTGTTGTACGTCTGTGCAAGTTGTATAGACAATCGCTCACGATTCGTACAAAACAATGGTCCAGTTTATACAAATACTTACAATATGCACTGAAAGTATCAGCCCCGAAAAAGAAACCCAAAAAAGGAAAGGGACAGAAAAAGCAAACTCGCAAATATCTGGACGAGGACATCATTCTAGACGATGGAGACGTCATTGGCCTCATTAATGACGCTGATTCTAGTAGCTTCGAGGATTTTGACGGCTTTGACAATGAAGACGAAGAGAAGTCTGAAGCCGACCCCCCGCCTAGACCATCGGACACGGAGGCCGAAATCCGGGGACTACGTCGCTATCTAAAACTGTCTCGATCCACCAGACGGGAACGTATGTATAGAACGGATGATGTTTGTATGATATCCATGTATTCACATTAATGTCAATTTGCAAACGAGTGCAAATGTTTTGCATTTGTTTTCTTGCATTTTATTCATAATTTAAGAAACAATAAAATTGTTATGGAATGGGTCGCAAAACAAGTCGCTTCGGACTCGGTTTATCGTAGTCGAGGGCACAAACGATCTCAGCGCTTCGACTATCGTAAGCCTATGTGAAAGTACAGAAGTGTATAATTTTGGATCCCGAACGGTAATACGGAGGACCGCTCGTACAATACTAACTACATCTATCTAAAATGCTTGGTTGAATGGAATTTGACATCAAAGTCCGAAGCGACACAGAATCCGCCATTATATGAAAATCGCAAGTCAGATAAATGTCTGTACAGTGCAATTACATTGACCCTGGTCTTTATCGAAAAAAATACATTGTTCCGGAGAATACTTGAAAAGATATAGTATGCACCCACCCGCTCTTGATACCTTGGACCGCCGACGTGGTCTAGTGGTAGAGCGTTCGCCCGGAGAGCGGAAGGTCCGGGGTTTGATCCCCGGCCGCGTCATACCCAAAGACGTTAAAAGATGGTACTTGTTGTTACCCTGTCTGGCGCTCAGCATTAAGGGGCTAAAACAAGGACTGGTCGGCTCGGAGTCGGTATACTGTGTCGGAGTGGGGTATTCATGTTAAACTGTAGCATGGTATCTCAGTGGTCTAGCACTATAAATCGGCATCAGTTCGGACTAGTACAAGCAGCCACATACACGTGCATTCACGTCGCTATATAAGTGCAATAATCTTGGACGCGACGTTAAACCCCATTCCGCCTCGCCTCACCTCGCTGGTAAATGTTTGGTGAAGGAATTAACATCAAATTCCATAGCTCCGTGAAGTTACCCAGTGATTGGTGAAAAGCGGCTTTGACAAGACATCGATGATCATCGTCTTGGGCGTCCAGCCACTCGGATTTGCTGTTATCGCTAATAGGGCATTGTAGGACAAGATATTACGTTCTTCGTTACAATGTAGGTTACGGTTTGAGGAAGTTTACTCAAATACATATTCGACCTGTGAAGATCCGGGTTACAATTGATTTATTTTCAGCACTCTTTGCTTGTCGTAAGAGGGAGTAACGGGATCGGGTGGTCAGGCTCGCTGACTTGGTTGATGCATGTCATCGTGTCTCAATTGCGTGGATCGATGCTCATGATATCAATCACTGGTCTGTCTGGTCCAGACTCGATCATTTACAGACCGCCGTCATGTAGATGGAATATTGCTAAATGCGGCGTTATACAAAAGTTTATGAAACTACATTATGGTGAATAAAACTCAATTTGCTTAGGTGGTTACAAAGGACAATCTTGGAAACTAGCCTAACCGCAAGTCACTTTGGCGAGAAAAGCTGGTCCTTTCAAATGTCGCTCTGACGGAGAGACGCAGTTGTCATTTTTGCCCGGATTAGAAGAGAAGCGAGTGACTCGGCAACTTCATGCTGTATGCCCCACACAAACCGAACATTTATAAATGGATTTTGTTTGTTGAAGGTGCTGCAAAACCCAAGAGGAAACCACCACCACCGTCCACTCAAACATGAAAGCTTTGGGAAGGTCTGTTCCTACATGGCGAGGCTGCTGTTATTAGGGTACGTTGATGGTCAGTTCGTCCGGACTAGCACACGTGTGCATGTCGCCATAGAGGTGCAACAGTCTTGTATTCAGAAGACATGCGGGGGCACGGGTGGCCCAGTCATCTAAGGCGCCGCGATTCGCTGTGCAGAGTTGCGTCCCTTGGGCACGCCAGAAACCTAGATTGTGAGTTCGAATCCCGGTTCGCCCCGATTATGTTTCTAGGTTTGTCAGCACCATACCCGTGCTCGTGGGTTTCACCGAAGTGGTAAACGTCTGAGACCTGCATCACTTCGGGCTTCCTCCCACATTAAGCTGACACGCTGTGACATAACTGTAATACTGTTAAAAGCGGCGTTAACCCAACTCGCTCACTCAGAAGACATGCCTGAACACAACCAGTGATGGAGCCTATGTGCAGGCAATGTTGTTATGAAAGGGTTCATTCTAGATGCATCTGAACCGCACTCTTGGAAGCTTAAAATGCGACGGTTTTTTTATTACGTTTATCTCGTATCTGCGTGGGGGCGTCGGGTAGCCTAGTGGTTAAAGCGTTCGCATCGTCACGCCGAAGACCCGGTTCGATTCCCGACATTGGTACAATGTGTGACGCCCATTTCTGGTGTCCCCCCCCCCCCCCCCCCCCCCCCCGCCGTGATATTGCTGGAATATTGCTAAAAGCGGCGTAAAAAAACACTCTCTCACTCGTACCTGCGTGACCCCTCAATGACGCTGAGTATAATGTTCTCCGTGGGGATGCCGGGTCGAGTATGTCCCCAGCAGCCATGGTGGTCGTAACAGGCGACGTAATGCATCGGGTGTTGATTTGGTTCACTTTTGTGTCATCGTAACAGGCGGCATGGATAAATGCTTGTGAGTCAGTGCTTATAAATCACTGATTGTCTCGTCCAGGCGTGGTTCTTTACAGTCCGCCGTCGTACAGCATGAACGTTCACATTCCAGTGATTAATTCTGCCCATCTCTCCACGCAAGTTCGATTCATTGACATGCAGTTAACAACTTGCGAGCCTGAACCACACAATCCATTAATTAAATCGCCCATTACAAGCAACACATTGCTCGGGACATATTTCCTTACCCGGGATCCCCGCGGGTGTGGCTCGAATATTGCCACGGCGCATTAAAACAACAAACACATCTAATTATCGTTTTGTTTGTTGCAGGTGAAGGAAGTATTTGGTGAAAAAAAAATCAATAAAACTGACACGAATATGATTGTTTTTGTCATGAATGGTTGAACCAGCTTAAAATAAGCCTTCCTTTGAAGTGTATTTTTGGTAAAGCGATACATCGAAAGGCAAAATCGTCCATTTGTTTTACTGCGTCTAACAGTACTTAACCTATTTGATACATACTGTACGTTTTTTACATTATAATTTACACGACTATAAACCCAAAGTGAAAGTATTGTTTGTTTAACGCCGCACTCAGCAATATTCCAGCTTTTTGACGGCAGTCTGTAAATAATCCAGTCTGGAGCAGACAATCCAGTGATTGATATCATCCACACAATTGGGATACGATGACATGCATCAACCAAGTCGGCGAGCTTGACCACCCGATCCCGTTAGTCGCATCTTACAAGCATGGGTTGCTGAAGGTCTATTCTAACCCGGATGTTAACGCATGCCAAAGTGAAAGGTATCGGTTATGTTGATTATGTTAAGTGAGAATTACTAATTATGACATGAATAGCTTGCGATTGGCTTTGCAAATTGGTGAATCCACTTGTAAAGTTGTTTCGAACTTCGGGGGGGGGGGGGGGGGGGGGGGGGGGGGGGGGGGGGTGGGGGGGTAGGGTAGCCTAGCCTAGCCTAGCCTAGTGGTTAAAACGTTCGCTCGTCACACCAAGACCTGGATTCGATTCCCTACATGGGTACGATGTTGTGAAGCCCATTTCCGGTGTCCCCCCCCCCCCCCCCCCGCCGTGATATTGCTGGAATATTGCTAAAAGCGGCGTAAAACCATACTCACTCTAGTACACTTAAAACACGATTTTGTGCTTTTCCCTCCCCCAACTTAAAATCAATATTACCATAGTAACAATGCTTTGAACACTGCTTCGACCAGTTCTAACCTCTATTCCCCAACTTTTGTGACGTAAGTGATTGGGATTGGGGGACAGAATTTCTTTATCGCACTCTTGAAGCATCAACCAGTCATTGTAACGTATCGTACAATAATTACATCTAATACACAACGGTCCTTCGTTTCAATCATGGCTATTTTCAGGCCATTAGAGCTGATAATGCCTGCATCCTATGAGACTATTTGGTATTGAATCTCTGTTTACTTACGTTGTAGATCGACTAATTACACTAAAATTTCAAATTGACATTTTGCTTCGCTTTCTTTCTTTACACTGTTAAGATGCAACCGATGACGCTTGTCTAGCGATGCTTCTAAATGGATGGGGAGGTGAAATGTGTAATTAAACAGTTTTGTCATGAGAGATCGGAGAGCGCCTTGCTGCTAAAGGACGTTCCCGTGATCGTGTTACTTCAATAGTCAAACACCTAATGCACCATCTCCCATGGATACAGGGAAACGTTATGGTGTGCGACACCAAACCATGATCTATTTCCTGGTCACTCACTCACTCACTCCCTCACTCTCAGACCGCCTCCGTGGTCTAGTGGTAGAGCGTCCGCCCGGAGAGCGGAAGGTACGGGGTTCGATCCCAGCCACGTCATACCAAAAGACGTTAAAAGATGGTACTTGTTGATACCCTGTCTGGCGCTCGGCATTAAGGGCTAAAACAAGGACTGGTCGGCTCGGAGTCAGCATACTGTGTCTGAGTGGGGTATTCATGTTTAACTGCGGCATGGTATCTCAGTGTGCTAGCACTATAAATCAGCATCAGTCCGGACTAGTACAAGCAACCCCCCCCCCCCCCCCCCCCCACACACACACACACACACACACACCTACACGCTATATAAGTGCAATAATCTGGACGCGTACGTTAAACCCCATTTCACCTCACTCACTCACTCACACTCACTCACACTGGTAGTGGGTATGTAAATGTTCTGACATCCAAAGGATATAGGAAGAGTTCAGGTGAGGCTGGGAATGTGACATTCATTGGAGATGGCGTCCTGTGAATAGTACTGCCGTGGAACTAACATACTCGGCTTCTTTTCGGTTTAAAATAATAGGTATCGCGTTCCTCTGCCCTCCTCAGTATCCCCATCAAAGTTTGAGAAGAACATTTAATAGCACTCTGCAAATAACCCAACCCTCTTCTAAAAGCGAGTTCGAAAACTTTTGAAATAGTTTTTCGTTATAGATGGCGAGTCGGCTAACTGTTGTAGGAAAGCCTGACGCAGATCTTTGACGTTCAGCTCACGAAACCCACAAATAGGCATGGTGCTAAGAAACCATCTGGGATTCGAACAGACGAATATCATTTCTATCATAACTAAGAAAAGCAACTCCGTACAGCGAATTGTGTCGCCTCCAGTTATTCGCTTTCAACAAAGGATAGTGTATACTTCGTACTGTACACTACAGCAATTCTTCCTCATTGCTATATATTGGAGCATCTAAATCTCATTTATAATATTAACAGAAATAATACACATGCGATGCCAACTTTATTTTAATCACATTATATGACCATGCACTGCCAGGAAAATTGTACTAAGCATAAGACGTTACTGTGGTGTTGGTGGTCGTATACTTTGTGTGGTACTTTGAGTCTAACACATGGGATGACAAGCCAAATTGTAGGTCAAGGAATCTATTCGGACAGTGATGTTCATTCCACTTATTGAAGGATGAAAGTTGTTTTAATCTCAACTTAATTATATATATATATACTATTAGGGATAAAACAGTTAAGAATCGTATGTATGTATACCCAAAATTAGCATGATCCCTAACTCTGGTTCAGTAGCATTCGTCACCACTCGCCTCTTTCCGTAACCTTCAAGAGACTCGTACCCCTATCGATGACTGTTATGTGCGAAAGTACGACAAACCAATCAGAATGCGCGTATGACTTCACGTTCTTCATCCAAGAATCCCACAGGAATAATTTTTGATTTTACATATGTCTTGCATCTAAAAATATACCCAAGTCACAGTAAAATGTGTTCAGTCATACCGTATAATTCCGCACATTCCAATGTGCTTTAAATTGCAATCTGAAATATATATAATATATGGGGAAATATATGTGAAGCATTACGCAACGAGTTGACAATTGTTTTAGGTATGCCCGTTTGCGCTAAGACAGAACCCGGTCGCAAAAATGGCCATGAGAGGGGCACGAGTTGCTATTCGGCTTGTCCCGGAATAACACGAGTTGGTCACGAATGGGTCAGTTTATGTGGACTCGAATCTATATCAAACGCAAAGATGTGTCCTAAGATGTACAAAATATGTTCAATGAAGTATGTTACGGTGTTATTCTGCAACACTAATGATGTGAAGGGGTAAATATAGTTGCTCGATGCCAAAGCCTGTACCAGACGTATCCTACAGTTGGACAGTTCACTGTTGTATCCCATTATTTTCTGTTGTGTACCACAGTTATGAATGGTATCCATTTTCAGAATATTGTGGAATTCCATCATGAAATGTTTTTGGGCGGCTCTCTTTGTTGTACACATTGTCGCATCTTCGCGGGGACTCTTCCTGACCCAAGGGGCGGTCGGGTAGCCTAGTGGTTAAAGCGTTCGCTCGTCACGCCGAAGACCCGGGTTCGATTCCCGACATGGGTACAATGTGTGAAGCCCATTTCTGGTGTCCCCCGCGTGATATTGCTGGAATATTGCTAAAAGCGGCGTAAAACCATACTCACTCACTCACTCACTCACTCACTCACTCACGTACAGAAACAAACGTATGAAAAGCAAGAATTGAGTGAATGTCATTGCCGTAGAAGAGACGTGCACAAAACGTGTTCAAACATAATTTGACTTTAGGTTTATAAAGCATTAAACAAAACAAATGAATGACGTTGCAGATGTCAGTTAAAGATCTGTGTAGCCACACATCTACTCGCATACTTGACCTGGTCACTCACATTTGCCCAAAACAAAATTGAACCTATACAAGGGAGACACGAGTGAGTTGTGTTTAACGCCGCTTTTAACAGTATTCCAGTTATATCACGGCGTGTCAGCTTAATGTGGGAGGAAAGCCCGAAGTGATACAGGTCTCAGACGTTTACCACTTCGGTGAAACCCACGAGCACGGGTATGGTGCTGACAAACCTAGAAACAATCGGGGCGAACCGGGATTCGAACCAACAATCATAGGTTTCTGGCGCATCCAAGGGACGCAACTCTCCACAGCGAATCGCGGCGCCTTAGACGAGTGGGCCACTCGTGCCCCCTGGGAGACACGAAGTGTAGGGACAGCATCTAAAATACGAAACCAAAGATAACACTCACCCTATAGCCGTGTCCTCGCAAGTATAGCACTCCCAAACTTAATCCGCCTGGTGCGCCAAAACATTGAGAGGGAACGCAAAAAAAATATTGCGAGCGTTCACGATAGAAAAGCGAGAGAACCCTAAAAAAATATATTATTTCCATGGCAGATATTAACTTCAGTATCAATGTTTGTTGTTTGTTTAACGCCGCACTCAGCAATATTCCAGCTATATAACGGCGGTCTGTAAATAATCGAGTCTGGACCAGACAAATCCAGTGATTAATATCATGAGCATCAATCCACTAAAGACCTATTCTATCTCGGATCATCACGGGTTTCAGTATCAATGTGATGCAGAACATGAACATATTTTTATTAACATTTTTTACATGAAGAAATTATTGTTGCCTATACAAATGACCATTCTCGAAAAAATGACAGGTGAAAAATGTATTTCACATCAGATAGAGTGTTTGCGTATAGTAAATATCGTATTTCAGGAATATATGAGTGTAATAATCTGTATACACATGTCTTTTTTTAAATCTAATTGATGTTTTAGACTTGATTATATTCAATGATGTAGCGTGTGGTGCTAAATGACGTGCAGCCATTTTTGTTGCGAAATTTCAGCGACACATCAGAAAAGCTCTTTCTTACTTTATTGGGAACGTCAGTCACTAACTTATTGAGAAAGTAGGCATTGGCTGATAATAGAGCTTGAAAGTAGTTCCGGCGAGTGGACCTCATTTGCATATTTATTGTATCACGCTATCAAGTCGACAAGATTGGTTTATCGCATCGAGAACAGAAGCCTTTATAGAATGAAATAATACAATTGTCAGAGAATCTTCCTTGATTAACCATGACAAATATAGCTGTGATGACCGCGCGTGGCGGTTGACATTAAACGGGATGCAGGAGATTTATTTCCAGCGCGTGCGGCACGAGCACGGGGTGTAAAACGTGACGCAACCCTGAACGAAGTCAGGTGGAGGCGAGACGGCCAGCAGCACAGGTAATTCCATGTTGCATTCATGTACACGTCTTTGCAATTGTTTGTTTGCTTGTTTGTTAGTTAGTTGTTTAACGCCGCACTCAGCAATACTCCAGCTATATGAGGGCGTTTTTGTAAATAATCCAGAAAATCCAGTGATTGACGTCATGCACATCGATCCACGCAATTGGGATGGATGACCTGCATCAACCAAGTCAGCGAGTTTGACCACCCGATCCCGTTAGTCGCCTTCTACGACAAGCATATTCGCCTTTTACAGCAAGAATATTCGCCTTTTACAGTAAGCACCGTGGATCGATTCCGGGGTAGAATAAGTCTTCAGCAGCCCTAAAAGGCGACAATGCTTGTCGTAAAAGGCTACTAACGGGATCGGGTGGCCAGGCTCGCTGGCTTGGTTGATACATGTCATCGATCTCAATTGCGTGGATCGATGCTTATGATGTCAATCACTGGACTGTCTGGTCCAGACTCGATTATTTACAGACCGCCGTCATATAGCTGGAATATTGCTGAGTGCGGCGTTAAACAACCAACCAACCAACCAACATGATCATAAAGTCGGTACATACATGGTCACTGGCTGGTTTTGTTATGTCCCATGGGCGTATCGTTGCTCATCAATCAACATTTGCTTTGCCTGGAGCAGGTTACCTTTTCAGGCAGTCCTGATACTTAATACAACACTCACTCATTTTAGGGAGGATGAAGATACATGTATTAGTCCTGGTCTCTTTGGTGATCTGCCTCAGTCTGATTGAAACCAAGTCGACGGGGAAAGACAACAAAACCGACTTGTCTGGTAAGTGTCTTAACCGCCTCATATGTTTCCTAGTTAGATCTATACTACCCGGAAAACTCTCCACGAGAATGTATGACAAGGCGGAAGACTTTCTACCCCCGAAGATCCGAGTAAGAATTATTATATGTCTTTGGCAACCCATGCTTGCCGTAAAAGGCGACTATGCTTGTAGTAAGAGGCGACGAACGGGATCGGGTTGTCGGGCTCGCTGACTTGGTTGATGCATGTCATCGTATCCCAATTGCGTGGATTAATGTAAATCACTGGATTGTCTGGTCCAGACTCGATTATTTACAGACGCAGTGATATAGCTGGAGTATTGCTAATTGCGGCGTAAAAACAACAAACTTCAACTTTCCAAAGTCAACTTTCACTTTATGTCGAGCAATAATAATCCAGCAGCTCCAGCCTTTGGTGTCGAAGATTCAAAGATTGTCATACGATTCTTGCTCAGAAGTTGTTTGATCAAGGTTACAACATTCAAGGCTTCAGTAAATCTTTCAAAAAGTGTATGGGAGACATGTGGAGGACATTTCCAAATTTACGCACCAGAAACCAAACTTATGTTGGATGGAATTCACTATGTTTACTTGTATCATGTGTATTTAGGTGAATAATTGCCTTACCTTTGCATGTGTTTGTGACGGGTGCCACCGGTGGGACAGGACACGCTCATTTGTTCGCGAACACCTGGTAGTATCACTATCTGATAGTGATATATCTCATAGACACATTTTTGATAGTCGGAATCGTATACAGTGCACTTCGAGTTCTCTTATGATAATGGCAAGGGTTTTGTTTCTGTTATTTCATGCTTAACGTCAATTCCCAAGCGCGGTAATTCACTGTGTACAGTTGCGTCCCTTTGGTGCACCAGGAACCTAACATCGTGGATACTAATCCTCGATTCGCCCTGGTTATGTTTTAGCTTTGTCAGCATCACACTTAGGCTTTCTTCCAAAATCGCCGTCATATAGCTGGGATATTGCTGAGTGCGGCGTTTAACAAGAAAGAACACAAACAAACATCAGACTGACACCCGCGACAGAACTGAAATACTGTTCAAAGCCATGTACTGAATTACTGTTGAACTAACCTCACTCCGTGTAGTCCTTTTAAAAAAAATCAACAGTTGCTGAAGACACATACATACATACATTCTGGTTTGGTTTGGTTTGGTTTGTTTGTTGTTTAACGCCGAACTCCGCAATATTCCAGCTATATGACGGCGGTCTGTAAATAGTCGAGTCAGGACCAGCCAATTTAGTGACTCACATCATGCGCATCAATCCACGCAATTGGGATCGATGACCTGCATCTACCAAGTCAGCGAGCCTGACCGCCCGATCCCGTTAGTCACATGTTTCTTAATGCAAGCCAATTGCGTTAGATATCTCAAACAGGCATTGGCTTTCTATGAACTATCCCCAAGTTACCAAATGTTTTTTTAAAGCTTGTGAACAGATTTCTTGATAGATATTTGTATATTTATATTTAAATTAAAATATATTAAATTGACGCGCGTCACCTTTTTCCAGACAAAACGGGGCCAAAGGTAAACTGCAAGAAAGAGATTGTCTTTTTCCTGTCGGTTTTGCGAATATGTGCCACCTACAGACGAATCTTGTCCTCGAAATCTCGCGTGAAGAACTGGGCCGGGCTCAACAAACTCATACAAACTGCTTTATACATAGCAGACCTCAACATCCCTAAGGGCAAACTGTGTTCTCATTGTGGGTGTGGGTCTGGTAAAAGTGGTCCCAAGAAAGGTGGTCCCAAGAATGGTGGTCCCAAGAAAGATGGTCCCAAGAAAGATGGCTCTGGGAACGAAGACTCTGCCCAGCAAGGTGATTCTGACAATGACCATGAACAGCGCAGCTATCAGGACTTCGGTCCAAATGACAATAGCAGTAGCTATAATAATGACAAGGAATCAGGAGTATTTGATGAAGATGCCAATGAGACCATTCACGGTGACAGCTCCATGCACGGTGACGGCTCCATGCACGAGGAAGAATCCGACGCCCCGGACACTGCTGACTTCATCCGGGCACTCCGACGCCACCTGGAAGTGTCTGGTCGATACAGAGACGAACGTGAGTACCAAAAGATACCAGGGCATATAATTAAGAAATAAGACTACGATAAAATCAACAGCCGTGGACCTGCCTGGGAATCGCCTTAGGGACCGACCATTTGCGGAGGGCGGGAGCTGGAAGTTTTCGAAAAAGACACTGTCCCCGAAAATACTTTTGCATCCAACTGTTGGGGAAACAAAATTGTTGGTAGTGCTGGGACGGGTAACTCGGGTACTCGGGTCGGATGGGTCCTGAGTAGGACACGGGTACCCACAGGACCACCCGGACCCGTGGTTAGTCAAGTGATATATTGTTTATATTTCAGTAAACATGGGGGGGGGGGGGGGGGGGCTGCTAAAGGACGTTCCCGTGATCGTGTTACTTCAACAGTCAAACACCTAATGCACCACATCTCCCATGGATACAGGGAAACGTTATGGTGTGCGACACCAAACCATGATCTATTTCCTGGTGACTCACTCACTCACTCTCAGACCGCCTCCGTGGTCTAGTGGTAGAGCGTCCGCCCGGCGAGCGGAAGGTCCGGGGTTCGATCCCCAGCCGCGTCATACCAAAAGACGTTAAAAGATGGTACTTGTTCTTACACTGTCTGGCGCTCGGCATTAAGGGGCTAAAACAAGGACTGGTCGGCTCGGAGTCAGTATACTGTGTCTGAGTGGGGTATTAATGTTAAACTGCGGCATGGTATCTCAATGGGCTAGCACTATAAATCGGCATCAGTCCGGACTAGTACAAGCAGCCACACAAACACACACACACGTACATGCACGTCGCTATATAAGTGCAATAATCTTTTACTCGACGTTAAACCCAATTTCACCTCACCTCACCCAGTCGTCTAAGGCGCCGCAGTTCGCTGTGCAGAGTTGCGTCTCTTGGGCATGCCAGAAACCTATGATCGTGGGTTCAAATCCCTGTTCGCCCTGATTGTTTCTAGGTTTGTCAGCACCGTGCCCGTGGGTTTCACCAAAGTGGTAAACGTCTGAGACCTGCATCACTTCAGGCATTCCTCCCACATTAAGCTGACACGCCGTGATGTAACTTGAAGACTGTTCAAAGCCTGTTAGACCCAACTCGCTCACCTTAACTGTAGGGCTTGTCACGCATATCATCCCTTTCCTTGGCTCCATTACCGGCTCCTAGGTCAAGTGTATAGTGTCTGTCCCAGAACGGAAGGTTGGTGGTTCGATTCCCGATCATGGGGAAAGTTGGTGGCGGGGGAGACCTATTGTGACACGGGTTATGCGCAAGGTTCTTGTATGAAAAAAAAGAGAAATTTGGTTGCAGTCCGGAAGCCCATTGGCAGTGTCATCTTAGAGCAGAATGTAAAGTCTTGGGAAGTTCATTTGCTGCATTACGTTCATCTTGAATTTTCAGCTAAGTAACTTGTATTTTTAATCAAATAAATAAAATGATACGGTCCTAATGGGCTTCGGTACTATAGAAATGAAACAAACAAAATCTTATTGTAAAAACTGTGTGTTGAAGGTGCTGCTGGACGTAGGACGAAGCGACGCCCCAACCCGTACCGACAACTCGGTCACGTGTGCCGGTATCTCAGTAGGCTCCTCTAGCGGCAGTTCAGGTACATCCTCAGCTTTGCTGGTCCTCGGACAGAGACGTCAATGAAACCAAGCGCGATGTCCGTCTGTTAAAGGTTCACACCTATAACATGTGTATGCAGCAGGGGTGGCCCAGTCGTCTGAGGCGCCGCCGTTCTGAGTGCACCCATTAAATGTGTCAGAAGAATGTGATCGTGGGTTCGAATCCCAGATTCGACCTGATTGTTTCTAGGTTTGTCAGCGGTTTGCTTGAGGGTTTGATTAGAGTGGTAAACGTCTAAGAACTGTATCATTTTCCTACGTTCCTCTCACATCAAGATGACACGTCCCGATGTAACCGAAATAGTGTGTAAAAGCGGGGTTAAAATAACCAAAATAGTGTGTAAAAAGGGTTTAAACCCATCTCATTTTCTCTCTAGCAAGTATCTAAATCAAGTCTTTGTCAAAAGGTTTTCATGGGTATTTAAATAAATCATAAATAAAGTATTAAACTTTTTGTGGTGCATAACAAATACTCCAAAGTCAAAGTTTGGGAACTGAGTGTTTTACGCCGCAATCGGCAACCATCACTGCAACCTGTAAATATTCGCCAGACAACCCAGTTGCTGATGGCATGGGGTGGCATGGGATGGCATGTGATGGCATGATGTTTTGTTTTGTTTAATGCCACTCGGCAGTATTCCAGTCGAATGACTGTAAATAATCGAGTCTAGGGAACACAATCCAATGATTGATATCATGAGCATCGATCTACGCAATTGGAACACGATGCCATGCATCAACCAAGTCAGGAGCCTGAGCGCCCGATCCCGTTAGTCGCCTCTTACGACAAGCATAGATTGCTGAAGAGCAATTCTACCCCGGATTTCTCGAGGTTGATTCGTTGGTGTAAATCTTAAGACTCACGTGTTTTATGAACCTTCAGTAAACTAGATTTATAACGAACACTCTTATAAGGAACTGACGGATATTACGAAGTGTTTTTGGTCCCGTTGATGAATATTTGCTGTATGTATGCTTATAACGAACTATGGTTATAACGAATTAAAATAAGTGGTCCCTTTCAGTTCCTTATAACCATAGTTTACTGTATGTTTGTCATCACCACATCCAAGTGATGACTCGAAGCCAGGCCGCACAATGTAACCACCCAATCCCCAATCGCCCAGCAGGGGACGCTGGGTCATGGTGTGGATGTCGATTAGTGGTATTGATACCCGTGAACAAGGACAAAAAGACACCAGTTTGATAACCTTGGTATACAAAGGTACAATACGTCATAGTAATCTGTTTGAATAGTATTGTTAAATATCTAATACTTAAAATATGATTAACGTGTTCTTTTCTTTTTCAGTTGCTGTAACCGAGTAGGGATCTGCCTAATGTACACCCGTCTCAATAAATCTGACTCAAAGTACGTTGTGGTTTTTGTTTTATACGAGTGATTGTTGAGTCGTGATCCACAATTCCAGTGACGGGGGTATACATGGTTTTGTTTGCTTAACGCCGCACACAGCCATATTCCAGCTTTGACGGCGGGCTGTAAATAATCCAGTGATCAAGACAATCCAGTGATCGATATCATGACCACCGATCGATATCATGACCACCGATCGATATCATGACCACCGATCCACACCGTCGGGGTACGATGACACAATCAACCAGGTCCGAGCTTGACCACCTGATCCATTTGGTCGCTTCTTACGACCATTATAGTTTGATGTTGAGCAATTCTAACCCGTCATCCCCAGGGGTTATATGCTACTCAAAACCATCTTCCTCTGTATCCGCCCATGCTGGTATTATGGAGTTACATTTTGGCTGGAATAACGAGTTTATGCATAGTCCAATCAAAATCGCGCAACAATATCGAAATCCGGTTCGTAAACTGTCATGCAGATTACGGTCGATTTCAGGATTTGCTAAGCATGTGCACTGCCAACTCGTCAACATATATTTTCCAATTTTTCATGTTTATAATCAAGGTGCCTACGTCATTTGTAGTACTTCGCTATGTAAGAGCCGTTTTATCACAATGTAGATCAAAATATAGTTTTGTTTGAAGCAAATGCGAGTGATACTAGATGTGCATAGGAGAGGCATAGAAAGGACATAACTCGTAATAGCCACTGGTTATGCTACGATCGAGCCCAGGAATTCCAGCCTAGTTCGGCAAGGATGGAAACTGGACTTTTAAAGTCAGTTAACTCTCTTGCCTCGGGAAGATGCTCAAAACAAGTTAAGCATCACCCACAACTGGAAGGCTGTTGCAATATGCGCATGCCATGACGGATTAACTATAGTCAAATGAAAAAGAAATCGAACCTCTAGAATGGTAGACATGCAGTGGCTACTACAACAGATCCTCGTGTATTATTTAGTGGGTAACGATGTCCCGGTCGACGCAGGAGTTGGAATCCGATGTGTAGAGTTACGTCCCTTATTTTGGCATTATTGTATATCGTGGCATTTCTAAGAGCTCTACGTGTAGTAACAATGACAGTTAACTTATAATAAAGGTACTATCACATGAACCGAAACTTCGAATTGAAAAAAAAAGAAAGTTGAAAGTCCATGTCTGTCTACATCCCTTAGGCGTGCCAGGATTCGATGATTGTTGGTGTAAATCTTAAAATTAATCATTACGACACTCCGTTTTTTTCATCAACACGCCCATGCTAATGGTATATCAGCAGTGTATAAAATTTCCCAAGATTTGAGTCCGACAAACGGATTGGCAACATTGCAAAGTTACCAGACCAGATAAAATGTTGCCAGTCCAGATTTGACAGTCGGGCAGGTAGGTATATATACTGGTGTTACCTGCATCAATTTGGGTTACATTAACACAGCTGACAACCTTCTTTTGAACTGGTAACCCAAGTAAAACATAAACGGAGACGCGTGAGTCATGAGGTTTCCATACTACCCATGCGATGCAATCACCAGCTCAGATTTCACAAAATGAAAAACAGTTTTATTTGAATCATGAAAATTAGGTCGGGAGACCTTGACGGCCAGTCCATGACGTTGACTCCCGCATTCTGAAGGTAATTCCTTGTCAAAATTGCTGTGTGGGGTCTGGCATTGTCGTGTTGGAAGATCAAACCGGGTCCATGTGCTGCCATAAAAGGCAGAAGTTCTGGTGCCAGTACCTGGTCGCGGTAAGCAGCAGCGTTGAGGTTGCCACGGATGACAAGAAGCCTGGAACGTGCATTGCCACAGAAAGCACCCCACACCATGACACTTCCGCCTCGAAATCTGTCAACTTCCTGGACACAACACTGGGCGTAACGTTCATGACGGCGCCTCCACACCCACGCCCTACCATCAGCAAATCGGAGATTAAATCGGGATTCATCACTGAAGACGACTTGATTCCAATTCCTCTGAGTCCATCGTAAGTGTCGCTGTGCCCACAACTGACGTTGGCGTCTGTGTAATTGAGTCAGCATCGGTCCGCAGTATGGCCGTCGTGCTTGAAGGTGAGCAGTTCTCAGACGGTCTCGAACAGTTTGCGCACTCAGTCTACCCCTAAACAGTTCATTTCTGCCGTCACAAATCGGTTACGGAGGTGACGTAAGACAATCTGACTATCCTCTGCATGTTACGTCACACGTGGTTGACCTGGCCGAGGGCGATCAGCGGTGGTACCCGTTTGCTCTAGACGCGTCTGTAAATCATAAACAGTCCGTCGACTACAACCCATTGTCCTTGCGACTTCAGCTACGGACGTTCCCGTCTGCAACATGCCGATGGCACGTTCACGTTGCACATTTAAGGCGTGGCATGACAAATGGCCGTAAAGGCTTTTGTTTTCTTGTGTTTTTCTTTTTTTTGTTAATGACTGCTAACAAGTATGGCTGAAAACACGTGCGGTATTATGGCCACGTGACCAGTTGCACGTGAAAAACCACTTTTGCCACTATAGTGCTGTGCACATGATTTTGATCGATTCACCTGCACAAAAACGGGTGTTATCTGAAGACAATACGTGGCCATTACTGTTTAAATACACAATAAGGGCCCACAATGATAACTGGTCAAAATGTTAAAATTTTAGGATTGTGAAGTTTTTAATTTGGTTCAGTATATGATGTTCTTTGGGGGAAATCAACGTAACATTGACAAAAATATGAACATAATATAACCACTATATGTATAACTATTACTAAGACTTCTGCAGAAAAGGGCAATTTAGAGAAAAATGTAGAATATGTAGGCCACGCACGACCTTTTTCAAACTTCGACCCCTGCCCAAAGGAAGAGTTTGGCCAGAAACAAACTTTTTGTCTGGCTGTGACTTTGACCGTTGACATAACGGATCAATGTGTTATCAGACTTTCTCAGAACTAAGGAAACATGTGTTATTTATTCCTGAGATACCCAAGCAATGCATGGTTTCATAAGATAAATTAAACTATTAAACTGAAGCAAAATCATGAAACATCCCCATTTACACAGCTGGCTAATCAAACATAAACAACAATCAAATTATCAATTTCTTTTATCCATATGCCTATAGTATATCACACATTGAACAGTGTCCACATGATGGTTCCTGGTGCAGTATGCAATTTCATCCATTCTTCAATACTCATAACAGAGTGTCATAACTGTTTGCTTGACAGCACCTACGGATCACGTTCACCAGTTCAGAAAACATACTTTCCCTCAAACCTCCTTTTCCTTCTATGTTGCCATGGAAGAACAGGAACCAGGATGAGGGGAGGCCAGATGGGCTCTTATCTCTGCTACATTGAGTTAGAAGAATTATGAACTTTCCATTTAGTTATTGTGTCCACATTTAAAGACAATAAGTCCAATTTATCATTCCATTCAAGTGTGTACCACATGGCTCAAGACTAGAGTTTCTTGAATGTCCTGGAAGGGTCCCACTCTAGCTTGGCATTGGTTGGTCTTCTCACATTAGCGAGACCAGCCTTTGTGAGTGTGTCCCAGTACCATTTGGCATACAACTTCTCGGTCGGCCTCCATTGAAGTAACAGGACCTTCGTCATCGCTGTCTGCAAATCACCTCTGATATCTGGAGGGGTGCACTCTCTGTTAAGGACTCCCTTGTCTCGTCCTTCCAGACTGTCAACCTTGAGTACTCATCCAAGGATCTCAAGCAGGACTTCAGTTTCTGCAGAATTATGTATAAAGATTTTAGCAACCAAAAAGAATTGTTGACACGTGTATTATAGGCATGAAAGTGTAATACATATTTAGATAACTAAAGGGAAGTTAAATCAATAAGTCATTGAAATAAGAGGGAATGTATACCAGATATTATAACAAGAATTGGCACCATCTTAGAGTGTGGGGACAGTCTCTTCGTCAGAACGGGGGTCGTATTATAGGCATGAAATAATGGTAATTAGCAACTCATTAAGACAGCTACAGTAATTATATAAGTAGGCAATATGAGGGGCTAAAACAGTAAGATATAGGTATAACACATGGGAAGATATATTGAGGGCAGTCGATGTTGGAGTTGAAGAGCACTGGAAACATACTGGGCCACTCATAACCAGGGGTGACAGTAGTGGGTCGGGGGTCGGAGTACTAGAGCAAAACAATAAAAGTAACATAGCAAGGGAATGTGCAGTTTGCCAGAGACAAAATAGATTGGGAGAGGAAACGTAGAGGATATTGCCCTCGGGTTCATATATGGTTTTTTTGGGGAATAGTCCAGATTCCGGGGGTTGAGGTGGTCACATTACCACTAGTCCTAAAAAGGACCTTGAGGTTAGTCAAGAGTGGGTTAGAATGATCTAGTGCAGGGGGGAAAGGTGGTTGACAATGATACATGGAAAAATGAGTAGAACTGTGACTAAGGTACCGGTTTAAATAGGGGGGAAAGCCCCCAGATCGAGAGAGCGGCTAATAGAGCGGCTAGGGAGTGGCTAGAGAGCGGCTGGGGAGACGACATCTGGACTGGTGTTCCGTTCTCGGCTTGTTGTCACGATCTTTCGAACCAGAAACCAAACTTAAGCACCAGCATTTCGACAAAGTGGGAATAAAAGCTGTTAAACAAAGATCACTCTTTGTGCTTGTTGGAGGAACTACGGTAATAGGTCCAAGGCCCTCGGGTACTGACATTGTACCTCTCGCTCATCCCTGACTGTCAGCACCAAGAACGAGGGGATTACCGTAGTTCAGGTGAAGAGGTACACCGATTGCCACTTCTAATTGATAACAATTACCGGCGATTAGCGTCTTTAAAAATACCTTGGATACGTGGTGAACAGATGCGGGGTACGATCTTCCCTGACGACTGCCAAAAAGCATTGTCAGGTGACGGCGTGCAGTGGTTGCACAAGCAAGGTAACGTTGCGCAGCGGTTGCGCAAGTAAAGTGGAACTGTGCGGCGGTCGCACAAGTGAAGTGTCGTGGTGCAGCGGTTGCACG